TAGTGGAGAGGGTGCTCAGTACTTGCGTGTTCCGCCCGACCCGGGCATTCAGGCCAGCCCCGCTGCTGCTCTAGGTGCTAGTGTGTCTGCTTCCACAGGTACTTCTGCAGCTGCTGCTCTAGGTGCTTGTGCGTCTGTGCCCCCTGGTACTGAGTCGACTGCAGCACTGCACACCTTCACACTGGACTCAGGTGCTTTCTAGCTCTCTTTCTTTCGTGACCGCACTGTCCTTGAGCCTCTAGCTCGCCGGTTTGCTGTCTCTCTTGCTGACCCCTCTGGGGGTCCGGTCCTTGCGACCTCCTCCACCACCCTTCCGTGTCCAGCGGTTCCGTCCGGCACGCTCTCAGGTCTCTACCTCCCCTCGTTCTCCACGAACTTGGTGGCAGGTAGTGCGCTCCAGGACTCGGGTGTTCACCAGTTCACCCCTGCCTACGAGCGTGTGACTCACTGCACGTGTGCTCGGACGGGCCGCCACCTAGCTACTTTCACTCGAGAGCCGGGGTCTGACCTGTACACACTGACCACTGAGTCCCCTCAGGTAGCTGCGTCTGCGTCAGCGTCAGGTCAGCTGTCCGCCCCCTGCTCGTGTCGCTCTCTGGCGAACGACACCGTCCTCTGGCACCACCGCCTTGGTCACCCGTCTGTGCAGCGCCTGCGGGCCATGCACAAACGGGACCTTGTTGCTGGTCTTCCCAGGGTGCTCCCTCCCCTTCCTGACTCCCCTGCTCCTGACTGCATTCCCTGTGTCGAGGGGCGGCAGCGCGCCGCTCCTCACTCCTCCTCCTTTCCCCCGACGACCGCTCCCCTGCAGACGCTCCACATGGACGTGTGGGGCCCGGCCCGCGTCCGTGGTCAGGGTCAGGAGAGGTACTTCCTGATAGTTGTTGACGACTACTCGCGCTACACCACGGTCTTCCCCTTGCGCGCCAAGGGTGACGTCCCTGGTGTTTTGATCCCCTGGATCAGCCGAGCCCGTCTCCAGCTAGGCGAGCGCTTTCACTCGGACTTTCCTGTCCTGCGCTTGCACTCTGACAGGGGTGGTGAGTTCGCCTCCGACCTCTTGGCAGCCTACTGTGCTGAGCACGGCATTGAGCAGTCGTACACGCTTCCGGCCTCTCCACAACAGAATGGGGTTGCTGAGCGCCGCATTGGCTTAGTCATGGAGGTCGCTCGTACCTCCCTGACCCATGCGGCTGCTCCCCACTTTCTGTGGCCGTTTGCGGTCCGGTACGCAGCGCATCAGCTCAACCTCTGGCCCCGTGTCTCCTTGCCGGAGACTTCCCCGACTCTACGGTGGACGGGAGAGGTTGGCGATGCGTCGCGTTTCCGGGTCTGGGGATCTCGAGCTTTTGTCCGCGACACGTCCGCGGACAAGCTCTCGCGTCGCACTGTTCCCTGTGTCTTTCTTGGCTTTGTTCCCGACGCGCCTGGATGGCAGTTTTACCACGTCACCTCGCGCCGGGTTCTGGCCTCTCAGGACGTCACTTTTGACGAGTCCGTCCCCTTCTACCGCCTCTTCCCCTACCGCACTGCCCCGCTCCCCCCCCCGCCTCTCTTCCTCGCTCCAGGTGCTGAGGTACCAGACCCCCTCCCCCCTCAGGGTGCCGCTCCCTCAGGTGTGTCCCAGGTAGACCCGGGTGAGCCTGTCGAGGTAGCTGTTGACTCGCGTCCTGCGTCTGGGGGTGCTGAGCCTGGGAGTGCTGCGTTTGAGGGTGCGGAGCCTGGGGGTGCTGAGCCTGGAGGTGCGGAGCCTGGGGGTGCTGAGCCTGGAGGTGCGGAGCCTGGAGGTGCGGAGCCTGGAGGTACTGAGCCTGGAGGTGTGGAGCCTGGGGGTGCTGAGCCTGGAGGTGCGGAGCCTGGAGGTGCTGAGTCTGGACGTGCTGAGTCTGGGGGTGCTGAGTCTGGGGGTGCTGAGCCTGAGCGTGCTCCACCTGGAGGAGCCCCCTCCTCCCAGCAGCTGCAGGAGAGGTATCTCGAGTACTGCCGCCTCCGGAGAGGTGCTTCTGGAGCTCGTCCCGGTACTTCCCCTCCTACCCAGGAGCTCCCCCCCATTCAGGTGATCCGCGAGTGGTACACGCGGCGCTGCAGTCTTCGTAGTGGTGCTCCTGGTACTGCGGACCCGAGCGGTGGTGCTGTTGCTGGTGCTGAGGACCCGGACGCTGGAGCTGCTGCTGGTGCTGAGGACCCGGGGGCTGGAGCTGCTGCTGGTGCTGAGGACCCGGGCGTTGGAGCTGCTGCTGGTGCTGAGGACCCGACCGGTGGCGCTGCTGCTGGTGCTGAGGACCTGACCAGTGGCCCTGCTGCTGGTGCTGAGGACCCGGGCGTTGGAGCTGCTGCTGGTGCTGAGGACCCGACCGGTGGTGCTGCTGCTGCTGGTGCTGAGGACTCGGGCGTTGGAGCTGCTGCTGGTGCTGAGGACTCGGGCGTTGGGGCTGCCACTGGTGTCCCTGCTGCTTCTGGAGACGCTGCGCGGCCGCGGCCGTACTTCGTACCGCTCCTTCAGCAGGTTCTTGGTCAGGCTCCTCCTCCTAGTCCTCCTCCCTCCGTCGAGTGTCCTCTGCCTGTCCAGCCGCAGTCACAGTTACCGCCTGTCTCGCCTCTCCCTGCTCCCTCCCCTTACGCTGGTCCCACAGGAGGTCTTACAGAGCGTCGTGAGCCTGAGTCTCGTCCTGCGTCGCCTGTTCGTACTGCTCGCACTGGTCGTCGTGTCCCACGTGAGCGTCCTCCTCCTGTCCCTGGCACTCACTACATGACTCTGCGTCCCTCCACTGCTCCGCAGCGTGTCCCGCTGCCGTCTCCTCCTGCGTCCTCTCTTCCTACTCTTCCTGACCCGGAGTCTGACTCCCGTCGTGCTGCCAGTCCCACTGTTACGCGTCTCCTCGCTACAGTTGTCACTGACCCGACCTTTGAGTCCTCTGCTGCGTCTGCTCTGGTCGCTGAGTTGGTTGACTTTGCTGCTCGCTGTCGCCTAGACTACGCTGCCAGCCTTGTCGCTAGGTCTGAGTCTGCGTCTGCCTGTCCTCCGTCCGTCGGGGGTGAGTGTGCCCTCGGCACGGACGTCCTTGAGGACAGACAGGAGGAGTTCCACTGCCTTGCTGCTGCTTTGCCCCGTCTCGTGTCCTTGCTAGTTGCCCCTGAGGGAGACCCGGATGCACCAGACATCCCGACCCCACGCTCTTACGCTGAGGCGATGGCGGGTCCCTACTCCTCTCAGTGGCAGACAGCCATGGACGCAGAGATGGCCTCCTGGAAGTCCACAGGCACCTACGTCGACAAGGTTCCCCCTCCTGGGGCGAACATCGTCAGTGGCATGTGGATTTTCAGGGTGAAGCGGCCGCCGGGTTCTCCACCTGTCTTCAAGGCGCGCTACGTGGCTCGAGGCTTCAGTCAGCGAGAGGGAGTTGACTTCTTTCAGACCTTCTCCCCCACCCCGAAGATGACTACTCTTCGGGTGCTGCTGCACATAGCCGCTCACCGCGACTACGAGCTTCACTCTCTTGACTTCAGCACTGCTTTTTTGCAGGGCAGCCTGCACGAGGAGATCTGGCTGCGCCGCCCCCCTGGCTTCACTGGGTCAGTTCCTCCTGGCACCCAGTGGAGGCTTCAGCGGCCGGTCTACGGTCTCCGCCAGGCGCCACGTGAGTGGCACGACACACTGAGGACGACACTTGCGGCTCTTGGGTTCGCTCCCTCTACTGCTGACCCGTCGCTGTTTCTACGCACCGACACCTCGCTGCCGCCGTTCTACATCCTCGTGTACGTCGACGACTTGGTCTTTGCCACTGCTGACACCGCGGCACTCGCTCACGTGAAGTCGGAGCTGCAGAGGAGACACACGTGCACAGACCTGGGTGAGCTGACGAGCTATCTTGGCTTGCGGATCACCCGGGACAGAGCACGGCGCACCATCACCCTGACTCAGTCACACATGGTGCAGCAGGTTCTCCAGCGCTTCCGCTTCACGTACTCCTCGCCTCAGTCCACTCCTCTGCCTACCGGTCACTCGCTCTCAGCTCTGCCTTCGGATGAGTCCGTAGAGCCGAGTGGCCCGTATCCAGAGCTTGTGGGCTGCCTCATGTACCTGATGACCTGCACTCGACCTGACCTTGCATACCCTCTTAGCATCCTAGCACGCTATGTCGCTCCTGGCCGTCACCGGAAGGAGCACATGGATGCTGCTAAGAGGGTGTTGCGCTACTTGTGCAGTACGTCGGGCATGGGGCTTGTGCTTGGAGGGCGAGACCGGGTTGTTCTCACAGGGCACTCAGACGCTTCTTGGGCGGACGACCAGGCTACTCAGCGGTCGTCCCAGGGTTACACCTTCAGCCTTGGCTCTGGCTCAGTTTCTTGGCGTTCTACTCGCTCTTCTTCTGTTCTCAGCTCCAGTTGTGAGGCTGAGATCTACGCCACAGCCATGGCTGCTCAGGAGCTACGCTGGCTGACCTACCTGCTGACCGACCTCGGAGAGCGGCCTCGTTCTCCTCCAGTGCTGTACGTCGACAACAAGGCTGCCATTGCCTTGTGTGAGGAGCACAGACTGGAGCACAGAACGAAGCACATCGCTCTGCGATACTTCCTTGCTCGAGAGCTGCAGCAGCGTGGTCAGCTTTGTCTGCGTTACGTGGCCACGGAGGCCAACACTGCTGATGTGTTCACCAAGGCGCTTCAGCCTTGTGACCATCAGCGCTTTTGCACTCTACTAGGCCTTGTACCTACTGGGCCTCACTTGCTTACCTCTTGACCTTGCTTGTACTGTGATCACTATATATATATATGCCTACTTGTTTACTTTTGCTAGGTTGTGATCACTGTATCTCTTGCTTTGTTATAAACCTGCATGTGAACTGGTCTTGTGACCGCTTGCTTGTGCTCGGAATTTGTGTGGAATCCTTGAGATCCACCCTGAGCTTGCTTTACTTTGCTTTGACTGGTCTTGTGACCCTGTGGTTGTCTCCCACTGCGCCTATGGGGGTGTGTCAAACATTGCATGTTTATATTGTCTAGGCTGTAGTGGGTTACACCTTAGGGGGTACACAAAGTTAGGGTTTCCTACTTGTACCAAACTCTGTTCTAGTTCATTCATTCCTGCTCAGTTATTTCTGACACTCATAACTAGAGCCGAGAACAGAAGAAGAGCGGGTGGACCGCCACGAGACAGAACCAGAGCCAAGGCTGAAGGTGTAACCCTGTGACGACCGCTGCGTAGCTAGGTCGTCCACCCAAGAAGCGTCCGAGTGACCAGTGAGGACAACTCTGTCGCGTCCTCCAAGCACCAGCCCCATGCCTGATGTACTGCACAAGTAACGCAGCACCCTCTTAGCAGCCTCCCAGTGCTCTCGCCTGTGTCTCCCAGGCGCAACGTAACGAGCAAGGATGCTAAGAGGGTATGCGAGGTCAGGTCGCGTGCAAGTCATCAGGTACATGAGGCAGCCTACAAGCTCTGGGTACGGGCCACTCGGCTCTACGGACTCGTCCGAAGGTGGAGCTGAGAGCGAGTGGCTGGTAGCCAGAGGTGTGGCCTGTGGTGAGGAGAACTGGAAGCCGAAGCGCTGAAGGACCTGCTGCACCATGTGTGACTGAGTCAGGGTGATGGTGCGGCGAGCTCTGTCCCGGGTGATCTGCAAGCCAAGGTAGCTACGCAGTTCACCCAGGTCAGTGCAGGTGTGTCTCTTCTGCAGCTCCGACTTCACACGAGCGAGTGCCTTAGTGTCAGCAGTAGCAAAGACCAAGTCGTCGACGTACACGAGAATGTAGAACGGCGGCAGCGACGTGTCTGTGCGCAGAAACAGCGACGGGTCAGCAGTAGACGGCGCGAACCCAAGAGCCGCAAGTGTAGTCCTCAGTGTGTCGTGCCACTCACGTGGCGCCTGGCGGAGACCGTAGACTGGCCGGCGGAGGCTCCACTGGGTACCAGGCGGAAACGACCCAGTAAAGCCAGGTGGGCGGCGCAGCCAGATCTCCTCGTGCAGGCTGCCCTGCAGGAACGCTGTGCTGAAGTCAAGAGAGTGAAGCTCGTAGTCACGCTGAGCAGCAACGTGCAGCAGAACCCGAAGAGTGGTCATCTTCGGGGTGGGGGAGAAGGTCTGGAAGAAGTCGACCCCCTGACGCTGACTGAAGCCTCTAGCAACGTAACGAGCCTTGAAGACAGGCGGAGAACCTGGCGGCCGCTTCACCCTGAAAATCCACATGCCATCGACGATGTTCGCCCCAGGAGGGGGAACCTCGTCGACGTAGGTGCCTGTGGACTTCCAGGATGCCATCTCTGCGTCCATGGCTGTCTGCCACTGAGAGGAGTAGGGACCCGAGATCGCCTCTGCGTAAGTGCGCGGAGTGGGGATGTCTAGTGCATCCGGGTCTCCCTCAGGGGCAAGCAACCAGGCCACGAGATGAGGTACAGCAGCCGCGAGAGAGTCAAAGTCCTCCTGCCTGTCCTCAAGGACGTCCGTGCCAAGAGCACACTCACCCCCGACGGACGGAGGACAGACAGACGCAGACTCAGACTCAGCAACAAGGCGAGCAGCGTAGTCTAGACGACAGGCAGCAGCAAAGTCAACCAACTCAGCGACCAGAGCAGACGCAGCCGAGGACTCAAAGGTAGGGTCAGTGACAACAGTAGCTAGGAGACGCGTGACAGTAGGGTGCTCAGCACGATACCGGTCAGACTCAGGGTCCGGAACGGCAGGCAAAGAAGACGCGGGAGGAGACGGTAGAGGGACACGCTGAGGAGCAGTAGATGGACGCAGAGTCATGTAGTGAGTGCCTGGGACAGGAGGAGGACGCTCACGACGGACACGACGACCAGTGCGAGCACGACGAACAGGCGACGCAGGACGAGACTCAGGCTCACGATGCTCTGTAAGACCTCCTGTGGGACCAGTGTAAGGAGAGGGAGCAGGGAGAGGCGAGGTAGGCGGTAACTGTGACTGCGGCTGGACAGGCGGAGGACAGTCTACGGAGGGAGGAGGACAAGGAGGAGGAGCCTGCCCAAGAACCTGCTGAAGGAGCGGTACGAAGTACGGCCGCGGCCGCGCAGCGTCTCCAGAAGCAGAAGAGACTCCAGCGGCCGGGTCCTCAGTACCAGCAGGAGCTCCAGCGTCCGGGTCCCCAGCACCAGCAGCAGCGCCACCGCTCGGGTCCTCAGCTCCAGCAGCAGCTCCAACGTCCGAGTCCTCAGCACCAGCAGCAGCTCCACCCCCAGGGTCCGCAGCACCGCTAGGAAGAGCACCCCCAGAGTCGGCAGCTCCAACTCCGCTAGCACCGCCAGCTCCAGAGTCCCCAGCTCCAGCAGCTCCAGTCGTAGTGCTCCCAGAACAACCAGTCCCGGCAGCTCCAGTACCCCCAGTACGAGCACCCCCAGGACGAGCAGCTCCAGCACCCCCAACTCCAGCCGAGCCACTAGGACGGCGAAAGCGCCGGACGTACCAGTCACGAAGCTGCTGCGGTGTGAGAGACTGCTCAGCACCCCGAACCGGAGCACCCCCAGACGCAGCAACCCGAGGCTCCGTAGGCTCAGTAGCAGCACCCCCAGGCTCAGTACCCGCAGGCGCAGCACCCCCAGACTCCGCACACGCAGGCTCAGCACCCCCAGTCGCAGCACCCCCAGGCTCAGCACCCCCAGGCGCCGAACTCCCAGGCACAGTACCCTCAGCTCCAGCACCCGCAGTCCCAGCACTCCCAGGCCCAGCACCCGCAGGCTCAGCACCCCCAGGCTCAGCACTCCCAGCAGCACCACCTGCAGCAGCACCTGAGTCACCTGTGACCTCGACAGGCTCAGCGACGGGAGGAGGGTCTACCTGAGAGACACCTGAAGGAGCAGGACCCTGAGGGGGAAGGGGGTCTACCGGAGGGGGACCAGGAGCAAGGAAAAGCGGCGGGGGAGGGAGGGGGGCAGTGCGGTAGGGGAAGAGACGGTAAAAAGGGACCGACTCGTCAAAGGTGACGTCCTGAGAGGCGAAGACCCGGCGCGAGGTGGGGTGGTAAAACTGCCAGCCCGGCGCGTCAGGAACAAAGCCAAGGAAGACACAGGGAAGTGTGCGGGAGGAGAGCTTGTCCGCGGACGTATCGCGGACAAGGGCACGAGCACCCCACACCCGGAAGCGCGACGCATCGCCAACCTCCCCCGTCCAACGCAGTGTGGGCGAGGTCTCCGGCAAGGAGACACGGGGCCAGAGGTTGAGCTGATGCGCGGCGTACCGGACAGCAAACGGCCACAGAAAATGGGGAGCCGCCGCGTGGACCAAGGAGGTACGAGCGACCTCCATGACCAGGCCAATGCGGCGCTCAGCAATCCCATTCTGCTGTGGGGAGTCCGGAAGCGTGAAGGTCTGCTCGATGCCCTCCGCCTGACAGAAGGTCCTCAAGAGATCGGAGGAAAACTCACCACCTCTGTCAGAGTGCAGACGCAGGACAGGAAGATCCGTCCGGAAACGGCGGCGGAGCTGGAGACGAACTGTGCGGATCCAAGGGATCAGAATAGCAGGGACCTCACCCTTGGTGCGCAAGGGGAAGACCGTGGTGTAACGCGAGTAGTCGTCGACAACCAGTAAAAAGTACCGCTCACCGCCCTGGCCACGAACGCGGGCTGGGCCCCACACGTCCAGGTGGAGGGTCTGCAGAGGAGCCTCTGTCGGGGGGAACGAGGAGGAGTGAGGAGCGGCGCGCTGCCGCCCCTCGACGCAAGGAAGGCAAGGCGGCGCAGGCGAGGCAGGGAGGGGAGGGAGGGACCTGGGAAGACGAGACAAAAGGCGGCGACGGTGCATGCCACGGAGGCGTGGCAAGGAGGGGTGACCCAGGCGGTGGTGCCAGAGAAGAGTCTGGTGCGACAGGGAACGACACTCACAGGCGTGGGCCACCAGACCTGACGCGGACACCTGACCGACAGCAGCGACCTGAGGAGACGCAGTGGTCAGTGTGTAGAGACTCGACCCCGGCCGACGGGTAAACGTAGCCAGGTGACGGCCGGTCCTGGAGCACGTGCAGATCGCCACACGCTGTCCTCCAGGGGTAAAGGTGTCAACCCACTGATCCTGGATGACAGCGTTGCTCACCAGGTTCGTCGAGAACGAGGGGAGGTGGAAACCAGACAACGAGCCAGACGGAACCGCCGGACAAGGGAGCACAGTGGTGGACTGGGCAAGGACTGGGCCCCCAGAGGGGTCAGCCAAGGAGACTGGGACCGGTGCAGGAAGCGGTGTGAGCTCAGTACTGTCACGAAAGAAACAGCGGGAAGCACCTGAGTCAAGGGTGAAGGTGTGACAGGCCTCAGCCGGTGCGGTACCTGAGAGAGCAGTCTCTGTGGGTGCTGTACCTGAGAGAGCAGACTCGAAACCAGCCGGGACAGCACTGGGGGGAGCAAGTACAGGGGGCACCATACCAGAGAGAGCAGACTCACTAGTACCCAGGGCAGCAGGCTCTATACCTGGGTCAGGCGGCACACACAAGTAACAGTCTCCCTCGGCACTAACAGTCAATGCATACATGGCAGCAATAATAGCATCATAGTCAAGAGCAAAGATATCAACACCAGCCCTCATGAGCTCAGCCCAGCGGGGGCGCTCAACATCCTCGCCCATCTCCTCACGCCAAGCGTCGTCAAGGCGGGAGAAGCAGCGGTACGGGGTGTGGAACCTCCCACACGTCTGTCCCTTGCGGTCACCTGTGCGAATGACATAGGAACAGCGGCCATTGCCCCCCGACGTCCCACGCTGAGCAAGCCACTCACGAAGCTGCTGGGTCGTCTGGGGACGCTGCTGCTGCTGGGAGCTCTGGCCCGAGCCAGTGCCTCCACTCCGACCTCCGCCACCACCACTACCTCCGCTCCGACCGCCACCGCCGCCGCCGCCGCCACCGCCGCCGCCGCCGCCGCCACCGCCGCCGCCGCCACCACCGCCACCGCTCCCTCCGCCGCCCCCGCCTCCGCTGCCGACCCCACTCCCACCAGCACTCCCGCCACCGCTCCCTCCAGCACCGCCTCCCCCCCCACCTCCCCCACCTCCTCCCCCCCCAGCGCCACCCCCGCCACCCTTGCCCCCCTTGCCCTTGCCGGTGCGGCGCCTCCCACCAGGAGCAGAAGCAGCGCCAGCAGACTCAGCACCAAGGAAGTCAACAGCAGCAGCAGTAGCGTAGGAGGGAGCGAGGGGAGAGGGAGAACACCCCTCAAAGATGGGGGTGCGAGGAGCGCCACGAGCAGCACCGACAGCTACAATGCTCTTTTCGGCCGCTAGCAGCTGCTCCTCTAGGAGGGCGACTGTGAGCTCAGTGGGACAGCGAGCAAGGAAGTGGTCTCGAACTGAGCTGAGGGTGTCAGGGAGACGGGTGACTATGAAGTGGAGTGTCCAGTACAGGGGAGGGGGATTCTTAGCGCAGAACTCGGTGGGAAGGGCGGCACGCAGGCGAGCATCACTAGTGCGAAGGTGGGTGATAAGATCGGCGACTGTAGCAAAGGTGGACAGCTCAGGGAACAGGTACGGCAGCATGAGGCGGCTAAGCTCGGCTGTGGCAGGCGAGGAGTAGCGAGCAACGACAGCATCGTACAGGGCCTTAGCGGATTTGCAGTCGCCAAAATGCTCGAGCTCAGCTAGCGGGAGGTGACTGCGAATGGCTAGGCGAGCAGCTGCGTCACGAGTCTGCCAGTGGGAACGAACACTAAGCTCAGCTGTGGCAGGGGGGGCAGGTGCAGCACCAGACGCGTAATCATAGAGCGACACATGCTCCTTGCTATCGCTCAGAAGGAACAGCTGCAGGTCATCCAGCCAAGTGGCGAACTTCACAGGGCGGCCCTCAGCATCGAACGACAGCACGCGGATGGAAGCCATAGCGACAGTGCGACTGAGTAGAGGAAGCTGCCACAGCGCTGCAGGTAGGTAGCTCGGCGGGAAGCGCGGCGGGCGGGCGACGCGGCGAGCGGGCAGTGCGGGGGGCGGGCTACGAAGCGGGCAGCGCGGTGGGCAGGCGGCGCTGCAGGCGGGAAGTGCGGCGGGCGGGCTGCGAAGCGGGCAGCGGGGCGGGCGGGCGACGCGGCGAGCGGGCAGCGCGGCGGGCGGGCTGCGAAGCGGGCAGCGGGCGGGCGGGCGACGCTGCAAGCGGGCAGCGGGCGGGCGGGCGACGCTGCAAGCGGGCAGCGAGGCGGGCGGGCGACGCTGCGAGCGGGCAGCGGGCGGGCGGGCGACGCTGCGAGCGGGCAGCGGGCGGGCGGGCGACGCTGCGAGCGGGCAGCGGGCGGGCTGCGAAGCGGGCAGCGGGCGGGCGGGCGACGCTGCAAGCGGGCAGCGAGGCGGGCGGGCTGCGAAGCGGGCAGCGGGCGGGCGGGCGACGCTGCGAGCGGGCAGCGGGCGGGCGGGCGACGCTGCGAGCGGGCGGCTCGGCGGGCGGGCGACGCTGCGAGGGGCGCGCGAGGGCGCTAACGAGAGGCGCACGAGGGCGCTAGCGAGGGCGCGCGAGGGCGCTAACGAGGGGCGCGCGAGGGCGCTAACGAGAGGCGCGCGAGGGCGCTAACGAGGGCGCGCGAGGGCGCTAACGAGGGCGCGCGAGGGCGCTAACGAGGACGCACGAGGGCGCTAACGAGGGCGCACGAGGGCGCTACGAGGCTAGGGCACGGGGTAGCGTGGTAACCGCATGCGAGCGGTGGTGGGCCCTTAAAAAAAACGGTCGGTAGGTCCTAGGGACCTCCTGCTCTGAATACCATGTCAACAGAACTAGGCAAGAATGGTGCATTGAATGAAACAGTTGGGTACAAGTAGCAAACCCTAGTTGGGGTTGTACCCCATATTGGCTACCCCACTACAGCCTACCAACATATAACACATTACAATTTGACACATATGCGTTATTGGACCGATATTTACAACGACCAACAGCAATGGAGAATCTATGTTTCGCAGAGTTCACATCAGATTTTGAGCAAAGCGTAGAGCAAGAAGATGCGATTGGTCCCGATTTATCTATTAAAAAACGTTTTTATTCCAAAAGATCGAGACGAAAGATAATCAGATACGTCAATTTCCATCGTGACATTGATGTAGAAAATTTTATGCGCGAACAAACGCTGTTGTTTGTTCCATGTCGAAAAGAAGTTTATGATCCTGTAGAAGTTGCACAAATTTTTTGTAAAAACGAAACTTTGATCGTTTCAAAACGTGAAGAATTTTCAGTTAAAGGCGAAACGTGGGCACGTGCATTTGAAAACGCAATGGGAGAAGAAAACGTTGACACAAATAGATCATGTGAAACTTCACAACCTCATGAAGATGTAGATATTGGTATAGAATTTGGAATGGAAACATCTTCACGATCGAGATCGACGGATATATTTCGCTCGGTAACAACAAATGAAAGTGAATACTTGTGTATGGAGCGTTTGTTGAACGCCGAGCAACGAGCGATTGCGGATCATATTGTACGTGGAGTTCGGAGGTCTTTCGAGATTGGTCCTCTATGTATTTTAGTAAGCGGTGGAGCTGGTGTTGGCAAGTCCGTATTAATTACAACTGTGCATGATCGATTGGTACGAATTTTTCATTCTCAAATTGACACGGATTTTGATACAATCAAAGTATTAAAAATCGCTCCATCAGGAGTAGCAGCCTTTCAAATTAAAGGCTATACAATTCATAGCGCATTGATGATCCCGGTGGTACAAAGGCGTCGCATAATAAAGTTGACATCAGATAAATTGAATACATTGAGGTCTCGATTAGGAGATGTTAAAGTCGTTATTATTGATGAAATATCAATGGTGGGAAGAAATACGTTTGAGTGGGTCGATTTTAGACTTCGGGAACTTACGAACTGCGCAAATTTGCCTTTTGGTGGATTACACATGATTTTTGTTGGGGATTTCTTTCAATTACCTCCGGTACGTGACATTCATTGTTTTGGCGATAGCTCGTGCGTTGACATAGAAAGTGATTTGAATGTATGGAGTCGTGTCAAACTTGTTGAGCTTACAACTATTATGCGACAACGTGAGGAGGTTGAATATGCGAAATTGTTAAATCGACTTCGTGAAGGTAAACAAACTCTGAGTGACATACAATTTATACGCGAACGTGAAATTACAATTCCTGTAACAGAGAAAAGTTTGCAGCATTTATGTTGCACTAACAAATTCATCGATAATTTCAACCATAATGCTTTTACATATTCGATGACTGAAAAACATGTAATTCCAGCATTGGATTGTGCGCTTTTTGGAAGCGATCAAACGAGAAAAGATGGACCAATTACTCCATCTGATTTTGCATCCACTGCGTCCCACGGATTGTTGTCAACACTTGAACTATATATCGGTTCGCGAGTCCATGTCACTTGCAATTTAGACACGTCTGATGGACTTGCCAATGGGACTCCAGGCAGTGTCGTTCATTTCAGTTTAAACTATAATGGTACAGTGGAGACTGTGTGGATTGAGTTCGATGATAAATATGTTGGGAAACAGTGGCGTTTGAAATCAAAGTCATTGGTTTCGACAATCGAGTATGGAAATCCGAATTGGATTCCTATACAACGAGTTGAAAAATCATTCTCAGTCAACTTACGATACGACACCATTTCACGAATGCAATTTCCACTTCGTCCAAGCAATGCTATTTCCTTTCATCGAAGTCAAGGCGCAACTTTTGATGCGGGTGTTGTGCATTTTGAGAACAAAGTTTTTCCGCAGGGCGCTTACGTTGCCTTAAGTCGTTTTCGATCTCCCCATCGTCTTTATGTTGACAATTTTACAATATCTTGCATTAAAACCGACCCTCGCGTAATAGCAGAAATGGAACATTTACGAAAACAACCTCTTGTATTGAATCCATTACCTATTGGCGTTTTATCTAAGCAAACTTCGGCTCTCAGGTTTATGTTCCAGAATGTTCGAACCTTACGAGGACACTACAAAGATATTGGATTTAGACACCTCGAAGCATTTGACTTTTTGGTTTTTTTTTAGACCCATTTATCAGCTGGCGATTCTCTACCAGAACAAAGCCCTAAAATATTTGATATAAAACGTTTTGATTGTTCGTCGGGAGGTATTATTGTTTATTATCGAAAGCCTATCAAAATTATACGATACTTGGAAAATTCTAAGATTGAATTGATGTCTTTCTTGATTGATATCGAGAATGACCAATTGATAATTCATTGTTGTTATCGTAATCCTACAGATCATCGTAATATCAATACACTTTATGAGATGCTCTCATTTTACATTGATCAAAACCCTAACGCAAAAATGATATTCATTGGTGATTTCAACATAAATCTCAATACTGTATCTCAGCCTCGGTATGAAAATTTTTTCTCGAGAAATGGTTTCATGCAATTTGTACTTGAACCAACAACAGTATATAATACACTTATTGATCACGTTTGGTCAAACTCTTTACAATCTCGTCTTAAAATTCATATTGGCGAAACATATTTCTCAGATCATTTCCCCATTTATGTTCATATTTCATGATATGTTTCATATTCTGTGCAGCAACTTCTCCTTCTCGACACAACACTGGTCGGGTGAGTGCCATAAAAAACGGAAGACTTTTTCCAAATGTAAGACTGCCCAATTTCTAATTATTTGAATACTGCTTTTTATTTCAGGCTTCTGCTGAGACGCGGTTCAAGAAGCTTGAACCACTTGTAGTGGGCGGAAAGAAGATAATGGATTTCCATCTCAAGTTCGTTGTCCTTGGTAGAGACCTTGCACAGCCAACGGACAGCGGTCGTTTCACACCCGGCAAAGTTGCCATCTTTGAGGGCTTCAATGTTGCTGAGATTGTTCTTTGGCCTGAGGCAACAGGCCAAGGAAAATGTGATGCGGAGAGCATCAATGCGTTCGTGATGAGTCTTTCGATTGGAAAGATTTATCAAGTGCACCGCATCGATGCTGTACCCGGGCAAGTTGGATGGTACGTGCTATATTTGCATAACATGCTATATATCTCAGTTTGTTTTCCCATGTTTTAAGATTCACAACATATATTCTTAATGCAGGAAACGAGTTGGCGGTTTGGACATCCAGTTCAACTGGGTCCACCGCTGTTCTTATATGATTGAGGCAGTTGGATCGGAGGAGCTGGATGTAGGCAATGTGCCTACAGCATCTTTGAAGAACTTCTACGAGATCAAGGATCTCGAGCGGGTAAGTGCTATAACTTGTTTCATATATGTATGTTTATATATTTATGTTATAGTTTGTTACATATTGTTATATTGCTATAGTATTTATATTGCTAAACTTTGATCATTTGAGTCTTAGTCAACATATTAAGATCGACATGATATGGTGTAACGATTGTATATTGATTTGGGTTTAAGGTTTACGTGAGACAATCATATAGTTGGTCACCTGTATAACTTTTGAATGCCTTCAACTATTGTGATATAATGTTATTTGTGTTATGTTCATGTGTTAAGGTATGTGTTTTGTTCATCATTTGTTGTTGTTCCCAACACATGACACGTATGAGACTCATTTAATTGTATGAAATGAATATGACAATATTTTCTACATACTTTTTGTGTGTTTTTTATTTCTTCTCAGGTTCCATCCATTGCTGTCAAGTTGCAGGTCACATCATTTGAACCAAAAAACAATAACACGCACAAATTGGTCGCTTGCATTCACGACTCATCCACAGATAGTGCACTGATTGCACTAGGAACCACAGCATCGCACATCAACATATGCTTCGAGAGCTATGTGCATGCGAACAAAGAATGTTCGCATGTTCCTGTGTACTTGAACAACGTTTACTTGAAGTCCGCTGTTTTCAAGACGACAAAGCAATCCAGCATTGTCATCCTTGACGAGAAGTTTGCGTCAAAAATCCAAGATGTTCCTCCACGCGACGGAGTCGTTGACGTGGGCGTCGTCGAACTGTAGGTAAACGTGACCACAATTAGCGTTTCTTTTCGTGTTTACATGTTTCTTATAATATTATATCATTTTGCGTCCAGGATGACTCATGTCGACGTACTCGTTCACACCACAAAAAGGGAGAAAATTGCTTCGTTTGACGCGGAAATCCAAGACCCACGACACAACAGTCGCACAATGTGTACCGTGAAGTGTGGAGATGCGATTTGTGGCATGCCTATCTACACATCGATGGTCACAGATTTGGATGAGTGTGTGAAGCACGGAACTGCTTCAATCTCCAAGAACGACAATGTCACCATCACTCTTGCTGTGACCGAGAGTGGTGAGTTCTTAAGATATTGTTATACTACAACATTATTCGACTATGTCCAACAATACACCAATGGCATGATCTTGTGACAATTTTTCTTTGTCGTTGTTTCTTTAGGAGCCTTCAAGAGCCGATCCCACAACATGGTATTGGAGCCGAGGCTTATGGCGAAGATGATTCCAAATTTTCAGATTGCCGATTTTCTTTCATCCTCTGACGACGAGCGAAGGCGTTTATTGCATGCATTGTGTGGTGTTTGGCGTGTGAAGGTGAGTTTTTTATCCAAAAAATGACCCACCTTTCATGCATTCATACTTGATTTGCATGTTACATACCATATTGATGCGTTTCCACCGAGACTAACATGACACTGGGCTTGTTTCCTCTGCCTTCTTATTGCTTTTTTTCTTTTGTTTCCCTCTTTTATTCTTTTCTATTCTTTTATGTGTGGGGCAGATACATTTCCGCTATGAGGGATTGCGGATAATTAAGAGCATTGCGGATATCATGAGCATTCGAGCACCTTCAGGCTTGGATGCTTCAAGCCTGCCCACACCCTGCTCTTCTTCTAAGAGATCTTTTGATGTAAGTGTTTGATATGAAGTGTGCAACTACATTTTAAGTATAATATTGATGTCATTCTTCAAATTTAAAGACTACCGTACTTTATCTGGATCTGACCCATTGATTTCCAACCGTTTGATTCTTTTATCAATATGCATTGTTGCCTGCAGGTCATTGAGTAGAATGTTAATGATATTGATGTAAGAACTACACCTTAGTTTTTATCGTTCACTAAGTTCAACTTCCTTCACGTTCCGCTTCATTTGTTTGTGTTGCATGTATTCTCTTGTTTTTTTTTTTCCCCTTTTCGTTATATTCAGCGCCTTAACATCACATCTTCGTATGCGTACTGTTTATGTTATTCACGCCTTTTTTAACTTGCAGGTTTTGCAAGATGACATCTTCTACAACAACGTTTCTTTAAGCATACGCGTGCTTAATACTATTCTTCTAGATAACATATATTTAATTGCTAGCATGACTTCTCATAATAATGCTTTTTCATGTGGTGCTAATGGTTGCGTTAGTAATGCATGTCTGCGCGTCACAAAGAGATGACTTGCCGATCATCGTCACACAAGGTTCAGTGGTGTACCACTATGACAGTGAAGCCATTTTGAACTGGACTTGATCGACGTAGTCATGTCTTTGAGATTCGCAGATTGTATTGCTTATGTTATCTCCCAACGTCTATACTACTCAGTTTCACCCCCACGCTAGGCTAGGGAAACGGTAGTATACGCTTTGAAAACGGCAAACGTTACATAAACTGCTAATTTTAAAAACCATGAAATATGTTCACCGATTTTCTCGATGAATATATTTCAATATCGTATTTCACTTTCAAATTCAACAATACACTTCTGTAATGATCGTTTTACACGACCATTATAGCTATCAGTATTGTTTCTTTAATGGATTTTCTTTTTTCTAAAATTGCAATAATCAAGATTTTGAGTATGTAAATATTGTTAACGGATTCCAATGTATTATGTTGAAGGTGAGGTGAGCTTACGGTGCATTAATACGAGGCTAAAAATAGTATTAAATTAATTGATTAGATTCATTATTTGTTATTTGAAGAAATAATGACCTATACTGTATGACCGTTATGAAAAGATTATCAGGTTTTTAGTTATTTTATATTCTTTCCATATAATATGAAACATTCTTTAGTTATTTTCTTTTTGTAATAAACAAATAACAAAAAATTTGGAAAAAAAAAAATTCTTTAGGTCGATTGCAATAGGTTGCTTCGCAACCCAAAAAAAGAGAAATCTCGAGAGTAGTGTCCCGCATGCTGCTCGTTCCTTTGAGCCTCACACGCATTGTTGCATTCTGTACCCCGCACTCACACATCGTCCATCGCGAATTCTCTAACCGCCACGCCCACCACGCATCTTGCGAGATCAGCGTTCATGCCCGTAGCTCAAACATAAAATTTTCACAGGCACGCGGTAATCAGTGACCACTCGGTGGGAAAGTTTCCTGGAAGCCGCTTGAATCTCCTGAAATCTGGGAGCTGTTCCGTCCACTCTCGTTCGCTCTTTAACAGCGACACATCTTTGGATGTTTCCCCGCATGTCGCTGTCGCATCTCGTCCCGCTCCCCGCGCAGTCAGCGCCAGGCCCGTCCCCGCTACGGCTGGCATTGCGGTCAGTCCGCCGCGCGCAGTGCGCCTATCCGCCGGCGTCGCCTTGCAAACGCCCGCCCCGAGCTCGGCTGGCGCGCAGCAGCGGGGAGACGCGGAACGCCGGCGGGCGGCACGCGGAGAGACTGGGCGGAGCGACGCCATGCGCGCGTGGAACGAGCGTCAGGTGTGGGAAATGGTGCTGCGCGGTTATCGAATTCTCATCATCATTATGTCGTGGGGCGGGATTGGCTGATGAAAGGTGCGCTGATGAATGCTGATGAACGGTGCAGCATCTGTCGTTTCCCTCCTTTTCCCTCCTTCCCCGCCGTTCCCGCCTTCCCCCGTCCACTCCCACAGATGCCACGCGCAGCACAGCAGCACAGCGGGCATCTTCGGCGCGCCTGAGGGGACGATGTTGCGCGCGGGAGAGGATGGGGATGACACGTGGTGGGACGCGCAGTGCCTCTTCCACCCCGTGCTGCTGCCCCGCCCTCACACGCAGCAGTAGCAGCTAATGCAACAGCACATGCACACGGTGATGCAGCAGCAACGGCAGCAGCAGCAGCAGCATGACATGTACCAGAGGGAGAGGGCCGGAGGCACGCGGGGCGATTCCCTCCTCTTCCTCCTCCTCTTCCTCCTCCTCTTCCTCCTCCTCCTCCTCCTCCTCCTCCTCCTCCCCCTCCTCCTCCTCGTCCTCGTCCTCCTCCTCCTCCTCCTCCTCCTCCTCCTCCTCCTCCTCCTCCTCCTCCTCCTCCTCCTCCTCCTCCTCCTCTTCTCCCCTCCCTCCTCTCCCGCGCTCTTCACCACAGACAGCATAGGCTTAGCAATCAGCACTGACAGCATGACATGGACCAGAGCGAGAGGGCCGGAGGCACGCGGGCGATTCTCACCCGGCAGCGTTTGATTCCTCGCATGTGGGTGCGGCAATGTGGTGTGGGTTCAGCCTGGGGATACAGGCAAGGGGGGCATAAAAAGGGGAGAGGATGACAAGAGGCAAGACGGGGTAGAAGGTAGGATGGAAGGAGGGGTAGAGGGTGCGCGACGGCGGGCACGGACAGCTCAGAGGAGCACGCATGGGGGGCGGGGGCAGGGGTGGGGGCAGGGGTGGGGGCAGGGGTGGGGGCAGGGGTGGGGGCAGGGGTGGGGGCAGGGGTGGGGGCAGGGGTGGGGGCAGGGGTGGGGGCAGGGGTGGGGGCAGGGGTGGGGGCAGGGGTGGGGGCAGGGGTGGGGGCAGGGGTGGGGGCAGGGGTGGGGGCAGGGGTGGGGGCAGGGGTGGGGGCAGGGGTGGGGGCAGGGGTGGGGGCAGGGGTGGGGGCAGGGGTGGGGGCAGGGGTGGGGGCAGGGGTGGGGGCAGGGGTGGGGGCAGGGGTGGGGGCAGGGGTGGGGGCGCCGAGGATGATCGCAGTGCGCCGCACGGCATCGCTGCTGAGCGTGGATGAGGCGGGCGCGGGGGGAGGGATGGGCATGGGCATGGGCATGGGCACGGGTATGGGGGGAGGGGGGCGGTGTGTGGAGACGGTGAGGGCATCGACACAGGCGGGGAGCTGTTTCACATCACAGGAGTGCGAATCCCATCGGTGAGAGCGCATGGATGATTTGTTGATTGGACGCTGCAAGTAAAGTCTTTCTGCCCCTGCATGTCCCCTCCATTCTCTTCTTCGTCTCATGCACCTCTCTCACCCTGCCCCCTTTCTCCCTTCCCCTATTCACCCTGCCTTCTCCCCGCCATCTGTTTCTCTGCTGCCATTCCCCCTGTGTGTGGCACGAGCAGAGCGGCACGACTCTCATGGACCAATGCGAGCTGCTGAGAGAGCAGGTCAGTGGGCAAGGCGAGCCATTGTACATAACTCCAATTAGTCTCGACAGCAGCACACACATACACAGAAATGGCTGTCAATGGCTGTGCGGCATCATCACGTCGAGCATTTTCACAAGACACTTATGACTCGGGGTCCATTCCCACTCGTCCCTCATCCGCTTTTCCCCCCCAATCTCCTTCTCTTTCTCTCTCCCCCCTCAACTCCCCCCTCTCAGGTGAAGATCCTATCGGCGGAAGTAGGATTCCACACGTCCAACCGGAGGCGCCTCATCGACAAGGGCGAGAACACACCGCAGGAGCAGCAGGAGATCCAGGTCAGTCCACCGCCTTGCAGGGAGAAAGTTGGACGGGCGTGGGAGAGGGGGCAGAGGGACAGTGAAGAGCAAAGAAACCAACATTTTTCCATCGTCCATTCCTTTTTCAGGGCTTAACATGAATATGCTGTGTCTCAACCTCTCTGCTCTCAATATCTGTCGCTTGCCCGTTGCTTGTCCATACCTGCGCCCTCCCTGTGCGTGCTGGTGCCCCACAGAGGCTGCGGGTGGAGCTGGCGGGCAAGCAGCAGCAGCTGCGCGAGATGGAGGAGGTCATGCGCCACAGACACGGCCACCAGCCCTCCCCCGCTCCGCTGCCAGCGCCGTGGGGGGCGGTGATGGTCTGGGCGTGGGCGCAGAGGCAGACACGGCCACAAAGGAACAGATGGCCAAGGTGGGAGCAAGGCAAATAGTAGCATTGTCTTACATGCGTGCTCCATGCCCCATACCCCAATACCATTGCTGTACGACCCATGCCCCAATACCCATGCCCCATGCCTCCTCTGACACATGGGCTTCCCTGCCCCATGCCTGATTCTCCAACGTCAAGGCCTCTTATCCTTTGTTCCACAATTTTACAACTGCCCCTTGTGCTGAACCGCCCATCTCCCACGCGTCATGGCATATACCCCGTGCCCACCCATGTCCCACGTGGTGCAGACAATAGCGAAGCTCAAGGCAGTGCTGAGCGAGAAGGCGTTTGGCATGGAGGTGAGCGAGAGGCGTTTGGCATGGAGGTGAGCGAGAAGGCGTTTGGCATGGAGGTGAGCGAGAGGCGTTTGGCATGGAGGTGAGCGAGAGGCGTTTGACATGGAGGTGAGCGAGAGGCGTTTGGCATGGAGGTGAGCGAGAGGCGTTTGGCATGGAGGTGAGCGAGAGGCGTTTGGCATGGAGGTGAGCGAGAGGCGTTTGACATGGAGGTGAGCGAGAGGCGTTTGGCATGGAGGTGAGCGAGAGGCGTTTGGCATGGAGGTGAGCGAGAGGCGTTTGACATGGAGGTGAGAGAGAGGCGTTTGGCATGGAGGTGAGCGAGAGGCGTTTGGCATGGAGGTGAGCGAGAGGCGTTTGGCATGGAGGTGAGCGAGAGGCGTTTGACATGGAGGTGAGCAAGAGGGGTTTGACATGGAAGTGAGCAAGAGGGGTTTGACATGGAGGTGAGCAAGAGGGGTTTGACATGGAGGTGAGCGAGAGGCATTGGATATTTGGATTTAATGTGGGAAGATTTGACATGGTGGACGGGCTTGAGAGCGGTAATGGGCATACATTCTGTTTGTGCTCGCTGCGCTTCCCTGCTTTGGTCTGGGCGATTTCCCTCACCTTCTTCGTGACCTTACCACCGCCCGATCTTTGCCCTGCTCCCCCTTCCTTGCCGCCATGTCAGATCGTGAGTGCAGACAACCGCATTCTGCAGGACTCGCTCAAAGCCAAGGTGAGCACTGCCAGCGCCACTGCCCCCAATTCACCTGCTCAGTTCTCCTCTTCCCAGAAGCAGCTTGCACCATGCTTCTCGTCGCTTCCCCACCCGCACACTCTGACTCTCCCACACGTCACATCCCCAACCACTCCTCAATCCCTCCCGCCCGTCCCCCCTCGCGCCCCCTCCCCTCCCCGTGCGCCATCCATCAGACCCGGCAGGTGCAGCAGCTGATGGAGGAGGCGAACATGCTGCGCGTGGAGCTCACGCGCGCCATCACCTCTCGCCACGGCGCCACCAGGGGGCAGGGGGAGGGGAACGGCGAGGGTGACGGGCAGGCGGACGCAGCAGGGCAGGGCGAGGGTGGCACGGGGGCAGGGTCCGGGGGCGGTGAGGCGGGAGGGGGTGGCGGGGAGGGCATGGTGGTGGTGGCGGCGGGGGAGCTGGAGGAGCTGCGGTCGCAGGTGAGGCTGGCGAGGCAGGAGGCGGACATGCTGCGGCAGCAGCAGCACCAGCTCACCAAGGACCTCGCAGGGGCGCGCTCCCTTGCGCTCACCGCCTCCTGCTCTGCCCCTGCTGCCAGTGCTGGCGCTGCTGGTGGGGCTGATGGGTCTGGTGCCGCAGCAGGGGCGCCGTCCCTGGCGTCGTTTTTGGACGGCGCGTACATGAATGGGCCGGATGGGCGGGCGGATGTGAGTGGGTTGCTGCAGCAGGTGGAGGTGGCGACGGCGCGGGAGGCGCAGTGGCAGGAGCAGCGGCAGCAGCACCAGCTCGTGGAGGCTGAGCTGGCAGCGGCTAGTGCTGAGCTGGCAGCGTATCGAACTGCTGCTGCTGCAGAGGCAGGAGGAGTGGAGAGTGGGGAGGGCGGAGATGGTGGGGAGGGCGGAGAGAGCGCAGGAGGTGGCTCAGGAGAGGGCATGAGGAAGCAGGGGGCGGTGGGAGCGGTGGCGGCAGTGGCAGCGCGGCTGGAAGCAGAGAAGGACGCTATGCTGGCGGTGCGAGAGAGGGAGGTGGGCGAGCTGCAGCAGAGCCTGGCAGCAGCGCAGCAGAGGGAAGCGGCTCTGGAGAGGGACCTGAGCACCATGTGGGTGCTCGTGGCTGAGTTAAGGCACGTGGGGGGGGGCAGCCGCTCCTCGTCTGTCAAAGAGAGTGAGGGCAGTGGCAGGGAGGGGGGTGGGTACACGGCGGGGCGAGGGGGGTTGCTGGATGCGGAGGAGATGGCGGAGCTGGCGGGCAGCATTGGGGGCAGCGGGCGGTGGCTGGGGGAGCTGCGGAAAGGGGAGAGCATGCGCAGCGAGGGGGTGGGCAGTGAGGGCGGGGTGAGCCTGTCGGAGAGGGCAATGGAGCTGATCAGGGCGGGGTCGGCGGGGGGGTTGGGGGCGCGTGGAGGGAGGGGACGGGTGGGGAGGTGGAGGTGCGTGTGCAGATGGCGGTGGAGCGAGAGACGTGTGTGCTTAGGGAGGAACTCGCGCGGAGGAAGGTGAGGATGAGGGGGTGGGACTCCGGTGTTGACAGGTTGACCGGCTCTCTGCTGCCCCGTCACCCATCCACTTCCCCAACTTTGCAGCATTGAAGCTTGGTCACCTGCTCCCTCCTCGCTCCCCCTCTCGCTCCTGCTTCCTTCCTCACTCCGTGGCACCTCCTCCTCCTCCCCCACCTTCTTTGAGTGGCAGGGCGAGCAGCTGGCGGGGTTGACGCTGAGGGAGCTGATGGCTCTGGAGGCGGACATGGAAACAGCACTCACCAAACTCGAAGTCGCTAAGGTGCTCCCTCCCGCCCCTCCCCACTCCTGCCCCGCCCTCCCAGCTCGTTCCTTCCTATTCCTGTCTGCCCTCTCCTCCGGCCCTGCTCCTTTCATTCTGCTCCTTCCATTCCGACCCACTCCACTAGAGTTCATCCCTCATCTCATCTCTATTCCACACTCAAAGGCATACACACACACGTCACACGGAATGAGGCAGCTGGTTTGGAGTCACAAATGACAGCGAGTGAAGCTACCTTGGAGGAAGGAGTCTGGACCATATCGTCATCACTCACCTCCTTCAGATCTCCCTTCTCCTGCCATGCCACGCTGCTAATTCCTTCACCATGGCGTGCCAGCTGCCACTGAAACCTGGCTGCTTTGCACCCCACCTTCCCTTATCCTGTGCGGTACGCTCTTCCCCTCCCCACCCCTTCCCCGCCACTCCCCTCCCCTCTCCTCCGTGCATGTGGCGTGGCGATGCAACGGTGCAACAAAATCTCCATGCTGGGACCGTGTGGCGTGAATGGCGTCGTGTCAACACAACGGTGCGACTGCAATGGCGCGGAGTGCAGATGCTGTCGAAAGTAGTAGGCAAAGTTTAGAAGCAGAAAGAGGGTTTGGACTAGCAGCAGTTGAGATACAAATAGCAAACCCTAGATTGGGCTGTACTCGCTATAGAGTACCCCACTGCAGGCTAGACAAATACAACATTCTGACACACCCCCATAGCCAAAGTGGGGTGTAATCAGCACAACAAGCAGTCATAATAGTAGTTCACATTTTATGAGCAAAGCTAGAGGCAGTCACAGAGGGCAAGTGAGGAGGAGGAGGGCTGGCGAGAGGAGAGAAGAGTGGAGGCGACGACTGAAGCTGCAGACACACGGGCAACAGACGGCTCTGGTGCAGCTCTAGTGGCTACCGGGAGCAAGGGCCCCGGAATACAGGAGTAACAGGCTCTGCGTCTGATCAGCAGCGACAGGAGCAACGGACCCACGGGCGACAGGTGCAACCGGCTCTCTGAGCTACCGGTGGCTATCAGAACCCCGGAATACAGGCGCTGCAGACGACACGACGGCGGCCTCCGCTCAACCTCCCCCAACAGTCCCACACCCCTCGACACACACCCCCTGCTGCGCCCCTAGCTCCACTCCCCCTTCACCCCCCTAGTACCACTCCGTCGGCTCCCCACACACCCACCCCCCTGAGCGGCAGCTGCAGCAGCGGGAGACGGAGGAGGAGGAGAAGGAGGGGACGGGGCACACAACCGGCACCCCCACACCCGCCACCCCCACACTCCCCACCCCCAAACCCTAAAACGGGCGGAACGGGGTAGGAGCGCGGGGGACGGCGAGGGGGAAGGCGCGCGGCCCCCAGGGCGCCACCATGGGGCAGCGAGGGGCCGCGCGCAGCCCCCCAGGGCGCCGCGACGGGGCAGGGGGTGGGTCGCGCACGGCTCCAGGGGCGGCTCGCGGGTCTCCGGGGGGCGACGCGAGGGTCGACGGGGATTGCGCGCGAGTCCCGCGGGGCGACGCGACCGTCGACGGGGCAGCGAGGGGTCGCGCGCGGCTCCCCAGGGCGGCGCGACGGGGTGGCGGGGCGACGCGACCGCCGACGGGGCAGCGGGGGCTGCGCGCGGGTCCCCCAGGGCGCCGCAACGGACAGGGCGGGGGCGCGCGGGGGTCCTCTACGGTAGGAAACCGCCGCGCGCCTCGGGGCGCACGGCGGGCAGAAAACCGCCGCGCGCCCCGAGCGCACGGCGGGATGAAAACCCTAAAAAAAATTTCGCGTCGGCGTCGCGCGACCAAGGCGCGCGACAAGTAGAACAGCAGGTCATTCTCTCTTGCCTAGCTAGGTCAACCCTAGCTATGGCTCCTCATCGTGCTTACTATCTCGACATGCTATCAGAGCAGGACGATCCTGTTGGGTCGATCCTGTGGGTGGGCCCCACCACCTCAGTCTTCCGCTGCTCCTACTACTGTCTGTGTCGCACGCCCCGTGGCGTGCGACGGATTTTTCATCCCGCCGCGCGCTCGGGGCGTGCGGCGGTTTTCTCCCCGCCGTGCGCCCCGAGGCGCGCGGCGGTTTCCTACCGTGGGGGACCCCGCGCGCCCCCGCCCCTTTCGTTGCGACGTCCTAAGGAGCCGCGCGCGGCCCCCCGCGGCCACGATTTACGGCCGCGACGCCCTGGGGAGCCGCGCGCGGCCCCCGATTTCCCGTCGCGCCGCCCTGGGGAGCCGCGCGCGACCCCCCGCTGCCCCCGCGCGGCGCCCTAAGGAGCCGCGCGCGGCCCCTCGCTGCCCCGTGGTGGCGTCCTGGGGGCCGCGTGTCGTCCCCCTCGCCGTCCCCCGCGCTCCTTCCCCCGTTCCGCCCGTTTTAGGGTTTGGGGGTGAGGAGTGTGGGGGTGGCGACTATGGGGGTGTCGGTTGTGAGTTCCTCCCCCTGCTCCTCCTCCTCCCTAGTCTCCCTCTGCTACAGCTGCCGCTGAGGGGGGTGGTGTGTGGGAGCCTAGGGTTTGGGGTTTAAGGGGGGTACCGTGGGAGTGGAGCTAGCTAGGGTTTGAAGCAGAGGGTGTGTGTCGAGGGGTGTGGGACTGGCAGGGGGAGGTTGAGCGGAGGTTGCCGTCGTGTCGTACGCAGCGCCTGTACTCCGGGGCACTCATTCCCGGTAGCTCAGAGAGCCGGTTGCGCCGTCGCCTGTGGGTCCGTTGCTCCTGTCGCGCGTATTAGCCGCGGAGCCTGTTACTCCTGTACTCCGGGGCACTCATTGTTAGAATCTAGCAGCAGGAAAAATGTGTGAATGAACTAACAGGATGCAGGAGTACAAGTAGTAAACCCTAACTAGGTTGTACCCCATATGGGCTACCCCACTACAGCCTAGACAATATGCAGCACATATAGTTTGACACACCCCCATAGGCAAAGTGGGGGAGAACAAGGGGTCACACGACCAGTCAAGAGAAGCAAAACAAGCTCAGGGTGGATCACAACGTCACCACGCATTCTGAGCACAAGCAAAGGGCCACTGGGCCAGTTCACATGCAGAGATATATATGCAGCAATAACAGTACAGTGATGGCTACCTAGCAAGAGCCAGCATGCATATATATATATATATGTACAGATCACAGTACAAGCAGAGACTACAGCAAGTGTGGAAACGTAGGCACAAGGCCTAACAGAGTACAAAAGCGCTGATGATCACCAGACGGAAGTGCCTTGGTGAATATGTCAGCAGTGTTGGCCCGAGTGGCCACGTGGCGAAGACGAAGCTGGCCTCGCTGCTGCAACTCTCGAGCCAGAAAGTACCGGAGAGCAATGTGCTTCGTTCTGTGCTCCAGTCTGTGCTCCTCACACAAGGCAATGGCGGCCTTGTTGTCAACGTACAGCACTGGAGGAGAACGAGGCTGCTCTCCCAAGTCAGTCAGCAGGTAGGTGAGCCAGCGTAACTCCTGTGCAGCCATGGCGGTGGCGTAGATCTCAGCCTCACAACTGGAGCCGAGAACTGAAGTCGAGCGTGTAGAACGCCACGAAACTGAACCAGAGCCAAGGCTGAAGGTGTAACCCTGTGACGACCGCTGAGTAGCCAGGTCGTCAACCCAAGAAGCGTCTGAGTGCCCAGTGAGGACAACTGGGCTCGTCCCTCCAAGCACTAGCCCCATGCCTGATGTGCTGCACAAGTAACGCAGTACCCTCTTAGCAGCAGCCATGTGCTCAGGTCGGTGCCGACCAGGAGCCACGTAGCGAGCCAGGAGACCAAGAGGGTACGCGAGGTCAGGTCGAGTGCAAGTCATCAGGTACATGAGGCAGCCGACTAGCTCTGGGTAAGGACCACTCGGCTCTACGGACTCGTCCGAAGGTGGAGCTGAGAGCGTGTGACCTGTAGCCAGAGGAGTGGCCTGTGCTGAAGACCAGGTGAAGCCGAAGCGCTGAAGGACCTGCTGCACCATGTGTGACTGAGTCAAGGTGATGGTGCGACGTGCTCTGTCTCGGGTGATCTGCAAGCCAAGGTAGCTGCGCAGCTCACCCAAGTCTGTGCACGTGTGTCTCTTCTGCAGCTCCGACTTCACGTGGGCGAGAGCCTCAGTGTCAGCAGTGGCAAAAACCAAGTCGTCGACATACACGAGGATGTAGAACGGCGGCAGGGAAGTGTCGGTGCGCAGAAACAGCGACGGGTCAGCAGTAGAAGGCGCAAACCCAAGAGCCGCAAGCGTAGTCCTCAGTGTGTCGTGCCACTCACGTGGCGCCTGGCGGAGACCGTAGACCGGCCGCCGGAGGCTCCACTGGGTACCAGGAGGGAACGACCCAGTGAAGCCCGGGGGGCGGCGCAGCCAGATCTCCTCGTGCAGGCTGCCCTGCAAGAAAGCTGTGCTGAAGTCAAGAGAGTGAAGCTCGTAGTCACGGTGAGCAGCAACGTGCAGCAGCACCCGAAGAGTGGTCATCTTCGGGGTGGGGGAGAAGGTCTGGAAGAAGTCAACTCCCTCCCGCTGACTGAAGCCTCGAGCCACGTAACGCGCCTTGAAGACAGGCGGAGAACCCGGCGGCCGCTTCACCCTGAAAATCCACATGCCACTGACGATGTTCGCCCCAGGTGGGGGAACCTCGTCAACGTAGGTGCCTGTGGACTTCCAGGAAGCCATCTCTGCGTCCATGGCTGCCTGCCACTGAGAGGAGTAGGGACCCTCTATCGCCTCTGCGTAAGAGCGCGGAGTCGGGATGTCTGGTGCATCCGGGTCTCCCTCAGGGGCAAGTAGCGAGGACACAAGATGAGGTAAAGCAGCAGCAAGGCACTGGAACTCCTCCTGCCTGTCCTCAAGGACGTCCGTGCTAAGAGCACACTCACCCCCGACGGACGGAGGACAGACAGACTCAGACTCAGTAACAAGACTGGCAGTGAAGTCTAGACGACAGGCAGCAGCAAAGTCAACAAGCTCAGCGACAAGAGCAGACGCAGCAGTAGACTCAAACGACGGGTCAGTGACAACTGTGGCTAGTAGACGCGTGACAGTAGGGTGCTGAGCACGAAACCGGTCAGACGCAGGGTCCGGAACGTCAGGCAAAGAGGACGCAGGAGGAGACGGCAGAGGAACAGGCTGCGGAACAGAGGAAGGACGACGGACTACGAGGTGTGCGCTGGGGACAGCCGGCGGACGCGAACGAGGAACACGAGGACCGGTACGACCAGGACGAGCAGGCGAGACAGGACGCGACGCAGGCTCACGACGCACAGCAGGACTACCAGTCAGCTCAGCGTAAGGAGAAGGAGCAGGCAGCGGCGAGCCAGTCTGTAACGGAAGACCAGTAGACGACGGAAGAGTAAGAACCTGACGAAGAACAGAGGCAGACGGCGGCAGAGACGACGGAGACGGCGGAGCGAAGAACAGTCGTGTCGGCGCAGCTGCACCAGAACCAGCAGCTCCAGCAGCTCCAGTGCCTCCAGCAGCTCCAGTACCTCCAGCAGCTCCAGTACCTCCAGCAGCTCCAGAAGCTCCAGGCCCAGAGCCGACACCTCGAGTCCCAGGGTCTCCAGCCTCCACGTCTCCAGCAGCAGCACCCCCAGAACCAGCACCTCCAGTCCCAGGGTCTCCAACCGCAGGGTCTCCAGCAGTAGCACCCCCAGAACCAGCACCTCCAGCTCCAGGGTCTCCAACCTCAGTGTCTCCAGCAGCAGCACCCCCAGAGCCAGCACCTCCAGTCCCAGGGTCTCCAGCCTCAGTGTCTCCAGCACGAGCCCCTCCAGAACCAGCAACTCCAGCACCTCCAGTAGACAAAGGACCAGCACGACTCCGAGCTCCAGCAGCGCGACGCTGACGGCGACCGTACCAGTCCTGCAGCTGCTGTGGGGTGAGAGGCACACGGGGACGAAGGCGGCCACTCCAAGGAGACCGCGCAACAGCAGACTCAGAACCCTCAGCGCCCGCACCCCCAACGGCTCCAGAACCTCCGGTGTCAGTACCCTCAGCACCAGTACCTCCAGCGACTCCAGAACCTCCAGCGCGAGCACCCTCAACAGCTCCAGGACCTCCAGCTCCAGCGCCACCAGGACTAGGCCCTCCAGCAGCTCCTGAACCTCCAGCGCCAGCACCCTCAGTAGCTCCAGAACCTCCAGCGTCAGTACCGCCAAGCTCAGCACCCCCAGACCCCTCACACGCAGGCTCAGCACCACCAGGCTCTACACCCTCAAGCTCCGCACCCTCAGGCTCAGTACCCCCAGACTCAGCACCCCCAGGCTCCGCACCCCCAGGCTCAGCACCCCGAGCAGGACCACTCGCAGGAGGACCTGAGTCACCAGTGACCTCAACCGGCGCAGTCAAGGGAGGAGGGTCTACCTGAGACACACCTGAAGGAGCAGGACCGGGAGCGGGGAGGGGGTCTACCTGGGGAGCACCTGGAGCAAGGAAGAGCGGCGGGGGGGGGAGCGAGGCAGTGCGGTAGGGGAAGAGACGGTAAAAGGGAACCGACTCGTCGAACGTGACGTCCTGAGACGCAAAGACACGGCGCGAGGTGGGGTGGTAAAACTGCCAACCAGGCGCGTCAGGGACAAAGCCAAGGAAGACACAGGGAACAGCGCGGGCGGAGAGCTTGTCCGTGGTGGTATCGCGGACAAAGGCACGAGCACCCCAGACCCGGAAACGCGACGCATCGCCAACCTTCCCCGTCCACAGCAGTGTGGGCGAGGTCTCCAGCAAGGAGACACGGAGCCAGAGGTTGAGCTGATGCGTGGCGTACCGGACCGCAAACGGCCACAGAAAATGGGGGGCAGCCGCATGGATCATGGAGGTACGAGCGACCTCCATGACTAAGCCAATGCGGCGCTCAGCAACCCCATTCTGCTGCGGAGAGGCCGGAAGCGTGAACGACTGGGTGATGCCGTGCTCCGCACAGTAGGCTGCCAAGAGGTCGGAGGAGAACTCACCACCTCTGTCAGAGTGCAGACGCAGGACAGGAAAGTCCGACCGGAACCGCTCGCGGAGCTGGAGACGAACAGCGCGGATCCAGGGGATCAAAACAGCAGGGACGTCCCCCTTGCTCTGCAAGGGGAAGACCGTGGTGTAACGCGTGTAGTCGTCGACGACCAGCAGGAAGTACCGCTCGCGGCCCTGTCCCTGGACGCGGGCTGGGCCCCACACGTCCAGGTGGAGCGTCTGCAGTGGAGCCTCTGTGGGAGGAAACGAGGAGGAGTGAGGAGCGGCGCGCTGCCGCCCCTCGACGCAAGGAATGCAGGCATGTGCGCCATGTGCCTAGCGCCCGCTGCTGGCTTCCAGCTTATGCGATGACACGCCAAGCACGTGGTGCCACCCACTTGACTCCTGACACACGTGCTTGCCTGCACTGCTGGGTATGCAGCAGATCTGGCGAGCACAGCATGGTCCGCTAAGATTGGAAATATGAAGTTCCGTAGCTCATACATATAAAGTACTAGAGAAGTTGCAACTAGGCGAACTGGCTTGTTTGTGTTGTGAAAGAGCTTCATGTATTTATTCAAGAGCTTTGTGTCAGGGCTAGCCTGGTGGGTAGATAGAAACTTTGCTCAAGGCGAACCAAATTATCAGATCTGGTGGCATAAAGCCTTCGTCAGATTTGTGACCCTCAAACATTAGGCTCAGATGTACATCATATTCCAATCAGCATACCATAGCATTACTTTGTAGAAAGATACACCAATATATAATAGCTATTTCAAACCAATCTAAGGGTACATTCCTGCCTTGACACTTGTGTCTCAATCCCCTGTTTTTCCGAGCCGCGCCGAAACATGTTGCTGATCTCGCGTCACAAATAATCAATGTATCGCGAAACTAGGCGACCATGCGAAATGCACAGTTGGGCGCAATTGATTGGGTGACAAAAATTACAGTACACCCGAATCTTCAATCGCGCGGCTGGAGTGTGGTCTTGACTCGCGGGAATCCTTCCCGCGTAAAACTGGCATTTCGGGAAGACCAGGTGCAATGACATTTCGAACCGCATGCGAATTTTAAAAAAATGACGAGTCGGTTTCCAATTCGTCAGCGACGTCAGCGCGTTTCACGCTGACCAATGAAAAATACAGTAATAGTCGCTGAAAGGCGACTCGCATTTGGGACACACTAAAGTTTATGCTGTTTTGGGGTGTCACAAAGCGATTGAGACATTTGTGTCAAGGCAGGAATGTACCCTAATAGTATTTGTTTAAACAATAATATTGTGCAATGGCCAATACCATGACCTGCTCCTACAACAGGGGCCTTATTGCCAGGCTAGTGTGAGAGTGTCTTCAATAAATATAGCGTCGGGTTATCCATGTTAGCGTGCTGTTGCTCTGCTGCCTTGAAGCCAGGCTGCTGTGCTGCTTTTTTCTCAAGAGGCTCGAGCTGGAGAGGCGATTTAGAGGGCGCAATGCACCCCTTTGGATGGCGGGTATCAACCGTATCCCCTGCGTCTGAAGTGCCCAGTTACACACGCATGCAGCAGCAGATGGTATATGATACCGTAGCCTGGACAGGACCACAGAAGACTCTGGCCGTTACCGAGTTAGACGCACACACAGGTGGCACGCCGCAACCACCCATGAACGGGATTTACCCGCCACTAACGACAATCACGCGTTTCCGATCTTGATGTCTTTAAACTTGATGACGTAAGGGATGTCCTTGCCGCTCCACGTGCCGCTCCACCAACCGTTCGAGATGCTCGACGCGTTCCACATGGAGGCGTACGCGAACATGGGCTTCACAGGCCACGCGTCTGCCTGCGCGCGCTGCACGTCGCGCACCATCTTGTTGTCAATGAACCACCTGATGGGACCAGGCACAAAGACAATGAAACACACGACAGACAGAGAGACACTGTGACATGGCGGGTAGAGAGAACAGGAAAACGGGAACCCACCCACAGAGCACGGGAGGAGAAGCGGGGAGGGCGTGTAGCAAAGAGCACGAGCTAGTAGCGGCACTACTCACTGCAGGCGGTCGGTGGTCCAGAGGAGCGTGTAGTTGTGGAAGCCCTTGGAGCAGTCGAAGCCGAGCGGCACGAGCACCTCGCGGCCGCCCTGGCCGTTGACGTAGAAGTTGGTCTGCACGGCCGTCTTGTCCTTGCCCAGCCACTCGAAGTCGATCTCGTCCTGCTCCTTGTTGCCCTCCTCCGATGATAGCTGCGCGGGTACGGGATACGAGATGAGCCACGTGGGTGGGAAACTCGGTGGAAGGCACAGGCGTTGCTGTTACTGTGTGAGCGGCAGCGCTTCAAGGGGCTACAGACGTATACACCTTCCTCGCTCTTGCATGCAACAAGCATGGGCGAAGCAGCGAAATGAATATTAAGCAGACGAGCACAGCGGAAGGTCCACTCACGTAGAACGCGGAGACGAGACCGGACGTGTTTCCAGCGGGGCACTGCACGAACGCCGTGAACACCCCCGAGTAGTGCCGCACCGTCGAATGGAACCGCCCGCCGCACCCCTTATCGTCGAACGTGATACTCTGATACCCCTTTAAAGTCACCACGTGGTCCGAGCAATAGTCTATCGCGATTGGCCACAGCGGCCCGCGGCCGATTGCCGACCCGGGAACCGAGGCGCCATTGTTTAGGTCCAGCGGAAGTCCGAAGTTGTACGACGGCGCGGGGACAACCGCGGAGGTGTCTTTATAAGAGACTACGTAGGGCGCGTCGGCGTTGGTGAGGTAGCCGGCCTGCCAGGCGTAGGGGTATTTGGCGGTGTCGTAGATGGAGGCGTAGAGGTACATGGTGGTGGACACGGGGAAGGGCGATAGCATGTTGCGCGACGACACGCGCAGGATCAAATCGTCGTACTTCCACCTGCCCAGAGGAACGAGGGGCGGGAGAAATGGCAGAAAGGGAAGAAAATCAGTTGCGATAAGTGAATGTGATACGCGAGCAAGATCGAACGAAGTACAACACGAAGCACTCCGCTTCCCACCCGCCATCGCCACTCCGTTCCTTTCCTCTCTCCGCCTCCCTCCTCCGTTCCCTGCCGCGTGCCCATAGCCCCCCGACGCGCATGTGCGACTTACACAATGAGGCGGCCCGACCACATGATGCTGATGGTGTGGTAACCAGCGGCGCAGTCGTTCCCCACCTCCACCTCGTGTGTCAACCCCGATTCACCGTCTACCAGCGTCAGGCACCGCACGCGCGTGCGGTCGTTCCCGAATATGCTCATCAGTATCGAGTCCGTCCCAGGGCCGCCTTCTATCGAGGATAACTGCATCGGGCGTAAGGGGGCAGGAAAGCACACGGGAAGGGAAACACGAGAAAGAGATTGGGTGGTGACGAAAAGCACAAGAGGAGAATTGACCAAGGCATGGGAGTGGGGTCCACTACGCTGCATGAAGCATGTAAGCAGCCCGTGTGCGCTGTGCGAGGCTAGACCAATGGCGGCTGTGTTCGCGTCGTGGCTTACATAGAATGTGGTGTCGAGGCCGCGCGTGTCGCCCTTGGGGCACATGAGCTTCGCCGTGAACACGCCCGACGGGTACGTGAACGCCGAGTGAATTCGCGCCCCCAGCGTGCCGTTGAACGTGAGCGTCGTCACGCCCCCGGGCAGCTGCCGCATCAGGTCCGCACCGTAGTCAGGAAACAGATCCACCGTTCGATCGGACATTGATCCGACGGTCGTAACGGCTAGCTTCCCGCTCTGCGTGTCCGCGGCGATCTGCTTCTGCAGCACCGTGCCCACGCCACTGAGTCGAATCATCGTGTTTTCCAGCTCGCGAAAGCCCACCGTGTAGGCGTCGCGTTCGCTCGTGGTGGTCGATTTCTTGGAGCGCATCGTCACGCCGAGCCTGCTCTGACAGACCGCCACGACCCGTGCCACCTGCGCAACCTCTTTCCGCGCCATGAATATGGCTCTGCGGGAAAGCTGGTCAACTACTAGCTTGCTTCGACGGATCGCCTCCGTCAGTGGCTGTCTGCAGAAGGGAACGACAGTCGGCACCTTCTGTAGCGCGAGCTGTAGCGATGCTGTGGACGTGCGTATCAGCGTCTGTAGCTGGCTGATGCTGCGCGCCGAGTAGGACGATACGACCAGTGCGTCAATTGTCTGGGCGCGTGACATGGATCGGTTCCCCGGCGTACCCGCTGCTTCTGCTTCTGCTGTGTGAAACCAACCCGAGTCGGCGGTCGATTTGTTTTTGCTTTGCCTGTTGCCGAATCGCGGGTCCACGTAGTGGTGGTTCCCTGCCGTGCATCCTGCTCCAGTGCGCATATCGCAGCGCTGGATATGCCTGCTGCGGCTCGACTGCGAGGTGTCCTGCGCGCTACTTGTGCTACTGAGGAGGCTAAACGGCCACATGTAGCCGAGTTCGCGGCCTCTGTGGGTGACTTCTGAATGCAAGCTACTCGAGCGAGCATTTTCCGATAGTGACGTTCCCGGTATGGGAACGCTTCTGGAGGCGCTTGGCGGTATTCGCTGACTTGTGACACAGCGGTGGCTGATCGAGACAGCTACGAGGATGAACAACGCGACTGGGAAGATGGACCGCGAGGAGATGATGCAGCGACGTGACGGCGACCAGAGGTGTGCGCGCTGACGACGAGCATGGCTGACCAGTTTACCTGCCATTTCTAAACCTTGTGACTGCCGTCGTTGCACCTGACCTGTCCTTGACGTAGTGATACCTAAATACAGCGGACACCTAAGTTACTATCGTACGATATTGACTGGAGACAGGACAGTTCCACGAGAGGCAAGGCTTCAAGAAGCTTGGCTGTTTCTCTCGAAAGACTAGCTACTGCGTACTGCGTTCCATGGAACCTTGGTGAGCGCTGAAACTGTCGGCCATAGTACCTGGAATGATCTACCTTACCTTACTACCTGAGAGCATTAGGTACCGACGTGACTGTAACTACGGACGACTGGCAGTAAGTATGGAAAGGGGCGCGAAAACATTTTATGGTCTCCGCACTTCCGAAGTTTGGTGAGACTATGGTTGCATTGCACAGGGCTTGACTGGTTGGTCGGTTGTTGTTGGGCAAGCCTGCCTTCCTTGCCTACCGTAATGTTACTTGACCATCTCACTTCGCTTCCCTCATCCAACAGATGGGCCAATTTTGGGTGGGTTATCCATCAACACGTAATTCGCCCCTCTTTGCCAGTAGCGCCAACACATCAATTCGCAATTCCCATGTTCAAAGCACGCAAACATCCGCGCCACGGAACAATCCGCGGCTTCGCCAAGCCAATGTTGAGGTGGAATTGACGGTCGCGAGCTGAAGAAACGCCCTCCGCATTTCACGCCAGCTGATTGCGAACTGTCATTTGGAGATGCGAACTCTCGATTGATTTCGCAACCGTCTGGACAGGTCTCCTGGATACCAAGCTTCCCTCCAACGAGCTCGGAAATCGCGGGTTTCCATTCGCTCACGCAGCACGAAAGCGCTGCCAGACGAATGTTGACAACGCCAAGTGTCTCGCCCATCGCGTAAGAGACCCAGCGGGACTCTTCGTGCAGAGCGGGGGTGAGGAACGCTGACATGGAAAACCTCGACATACGTGGCGGTGAAAGACCATTGGGTGCTCATCACAGAAGAAACCTGATCGAATAAATCCTCCACCGCTAACGACGTTTGAAGTGTTCAGATAGATCTTTCTTGAAATAGCTATTGACAGGTGTGATATACTTCGGTTCACCAAATTCACGACTTCAAATTAAAAAAGGTGTTGCAAGGTATGTTTATCCGCTTTTGTGGAGTCATGTTCCTAACAGGTGAAGATAGAGGCTACTAAACAGCTGTCATACAGCTTTCTAGGTCAGTCAACAGGGAATTGGTCATGGTTCTACACTGTTATACTACTACTTGAATCTTCTGGAGCTTCAACATGTGCCCTCATGATATATATTCCAGTGCCCAAACCGCACAGAAAAAGAGACCCTAAACCCAAATCTCCCAGGGTGCAGAGCAAGTGCAGGCACCAGTCCATTTCAAAAAGGGGGGCTAGAAAAGGTTACAAGAACACAAGCAGGTCAACCGGTAATAATCCACACCTACTACTTTATAGAGAAACTAGAGCCAGGAATTGTCAAGGGGAAAGTGCCAGTGGAGCCTGGGCAGCAGGGGTCTCGAATGCATGCTACACACAGCAGCGGGCAGCATCAGCTCGTTGCCCATCTAGGAAGCAGGCACTAGAATGAAGGACAGCATGGAGCTCAGTCATCAAAAGTGGTCTTCTTGCCTGAAGCAAAACATGCACAGGAGAGGAAAGGAGTGCACAGCTCTTATAAGGTGACATAAACCCAAATCCCAGAGCATGGATACTCGAACAGCAAAAGGCGGCAAGGGCCACCTAGGGAATATGGAAAGCAGCAAACAGGTGAGTACCCAGTTACAACAGTGCAAGCAAGAAGTAGTGTGTGAACAGGTGCAGCAGCAAGAAGCAATTACGAACCTGTGCCTGGTGCAGCAAGGTTGATCTTGGCACGGGGCGGGCCACGACCACCCCGACCTGCACTCACAACAACAAAGAGATGGACAGGAAGCCGCACACAGAGAGGTGAGAACACACCATACTACATAACCACGTACTTCAGAAAACACAGCATGATGATGGCGAATGTGTGGGAGTAAGTGAACAGACAAGAGAGAGCATTCATGGACCAAGCCACATGCCACCCAACCCATCCAAGCCCTGCCCCAGGATCCTCCCCTTTTCTCCAGGCTCACCTCCTCGGTCACCGCCCCTGCCCCGGAATCCTCCCCTGTCGCCGCCCCGGCCTCTGAAGCCACCGCCCCGGTCGCCCCGCCCCCTGAACCCTCCCCTGTCACCACCGCCCCTGCCACCGCCGCCACCGCCACCAGCAGAGGTGTCAACCACGAGCGAGCGCCCTCCGCAGTCCGTGCCGTTGAGCTCGCCCGCCTTGGCCACCGCATCTGCTGAGTCAAACTGCACAAACGCAAAGCTGCTCGCAGGGAGACCGACACAAGGGGAGGCAGGGGTCAGGGGAATGGGGTCAGGGAGCACATTAGAAGAAAAGGGAGGACAGGATACAAGGCAACAACAAGCACATGCATTGTTAGTTCTGCAAAAAAAAAAAAACAAGGGGATGCAGTACTGTTGCCTACTTACCCCTTGATGCCGCCAGTCTCGCGGTCAGTGGGGATGCGCACGCCCACCACGTTGCCACAGTCGCTGAACACCTCCGACAGCTGCCCACGGATCTGATGCCATTGCACACCAGTGGCAGGGACAGAGAAACAGACACCAGGTAACAGCAGGGATGCGGGCGTGAGTCGAGGTGAGGCTATGGAGCGAACATGTAATGGTATGGCACTAGCAACGGAAGAGGAAGAGAAGCGCTTCACTCGTGGTAGCTTTGCTTGCTTGTGCTGACAGCGTGTGGCAAGAGGCGGGTACAAGTACCTGCATTGCAAGGGCTAGTGAAACCAAACTGACATACTTAATACATACCGCACAGCAGTCACACGTCCCCTTCGTCCAAGAACATTCACTTCCTCTTCCCCTCACCCTCTCAGCCCTCCCTTCCCTCCCTCTCACCGCTTCCCCCTTGTCCTCTAACTGCCTCCCACCAAACCTGCCTCCCACCCTCTCACAGATCCCCCATCCCCCCTGGCGTGTCTCACCGTGTCCTCATCCTGGTAGCGGTCAAAGTTCTTCACAAACACTGTGTTGCTGTCGTCACGTGGAGCGCGCTCAAACCCTCCTCCGCCGCCAAACCCCCCGCCACCACCTCGGCCACCACTGCGCACGCGGGGGAGAGAGATAAGCGGACCGAATGGAAGAGAGAGGGGGAGGGAGAAAGACAAGCGCGCAAGGAGAGCAGAGAGGTTCACTATACAAGCCAATCGCAGCCCAGGTCAGACCCAACCCACCCACCACATGCACAGTATGAACCTTCACTATGATCGTACAGGTGTAACAGCAACCCACCCACCGTCCTAAACCCTTCGGATTAATACACGCGCCAATGTTACTGGACAACAATTTCAGTATGCATATTCCTTTCAGCATGGCGAAAGCCTGTTCACATATTCTCAGTCCTTACATGCCTTTGCGTTGGGCCAATCTCTCTACCCGTTGGTGTATTACCCCAAGAACCGCTTTCTTCCCCCCAGAACCCTCGGGCCCAACAAATCCCCCCAACCTCGGCCCTTCCGCACTCACAATCGGCCGCCGCCAGACTGCGGGGTGCGCCCGCCACGCGCTCCGCCTGCGCCGCCTGGGCCACCCGCGAGGTCGCAGAAGAGCGCGCGCCCCATCAGCTCCTGCCCGCTCTTGTCCAGCGCCTGCCGTCCGCGCACGCAGAGGCACGGGCATGGCCAGGGGAGAGAGGAGACGGAGTGCGAGAACGGGGGGGACGGAGGCACCGGGAGGAGGGGAGGGAGGGGGGGGGAGGGGGGGGAGGGGGCGAGGAATAGGGGGGGTTGAAAAGGTGTGGGGGGTGTGAGAAATTAAGGGAGAAGCAAGGGAGAACATTAAGGGGTGGGGGAAGATACGGCTAACGAGATTGTTTCCCAGCGAGAAACGAACAGCAAGGAAGCACGCAGCAAGCGAGCAGCGCGGGCAGGCTGCTGACCTTGGTGGCGGCCTCAGCGGTGGCGAACTCCACGTGGCAGAACCCGCGCGGGCGGCCCGACTCCTTGTCCATGGCGATGCGCACGTCTGACACCTCCCCGCACTCCGCGAAGAACTCCGCGCTGCGCGGAGAGGGGGGGGGGGGAGAGGGATCGGGGGAGCCAAGGGCGCGGAGGAAGAAGGGAAAGATTTGTACTTGAGCATTCGACGCGGAAAGTTGCGGTGGGAGATGGCAGAGGAAACAGGAAGGTACAGGTCGGCTAGAAACAATACGGAAGGAAACCAATCTACAAGAGCAACGGCTAGTAAGAGACGCACATTAAACAGCAGAGCGCGCAGCAAGAGATGAGCAGCGGGAGACGAGCAGACTGGCAGCGGGGACCGGCAGCGGGATACATGGAGCGTGATACGGGCAGCCGGGGACGGGCAGCGGGGGGCGGGCAGCGGGGTTGCATTACATGGTGTCCTGGTCGGCGGAGAAGGGGAGGTTCTTCACGAAGACCGTCGTGATCTCCTCGCCTCCCGGGGTCTGCGGCGTGGCGGGCGCTGCCTTCGCGGCGGGCGCGGCGGCCTTCACTGGGGTCTGAACGGAAGGTGCGACACGGGGAACGGGGGGGGATAAGCGGAAAAGAGACCGGGGGAGGAGGGGAGGGGGAGGGGGTGGGATGGGAGAGGAGGGTTTCGTTAAAAAGGATTGTTTACGGTGAGAACGCGAATGCGTGACTGCATTTCAATCGCAATAGCTAGTATCACGGCGCAAAGAATTCACGCCACGCATAAACCCCCGTGCCGAGTGGAAAAGCGCGCGGCTTGCGTCTCTCATGCTGCTTCTGGCTTAATCGCCGTCTCGTTCATCTCACGCTAAGAGCCGCACACGAGCTAAACCCCGAACACCCGATGGAAGCTCACCTCAGCCTTGACCTTCTTGGCAGGCTTCTCCTCTTCCTCCTCCTCCTCATCATCATCCTCGTCGCTCTCCTCATCATCCTCATCCTCGTCATCATCATCATCATCGTCGTCGTCCTTCTTGGCAGCAGCAGCAGCAGCAGGCGCCTTCTTAGCCGCAGCAGCCTTCTCCTTCTCATCCTCCTCATCATCGTCGCTCTCATCCTCATCCTCGCTATCGTCCTCCTCGTCACTCTCTTCTGCCTTGGCGGGAGGCTTCTTCGCAGCGGCTGCAGGCTGCTTCTCGTCCTCGTCAGAGTCCTCCTCGCTATCATCCTCGTCGTCGCTGTCCTCTTCCATGGGTTTAGCGCCGTTCACAGCGGCAGCAGCGGGCTTCGCTTCCTCCTCGGAAGATTCCTCTTCGGAAGACTCTTCCCCGCTGAGGGTGTCAGAGTCCCTCTTAGCAGCAGGAGCCTGCACAAACCGCACAAGATACAGCAAAACAGTCAGTAACAAACAGATATCTTAAGTGTACGAAACAGCGTAGTTCGTTGAACCTTTTCCCTCGACACCACAGGTCCACAGTTGTTGCCCGCTTAACACTTGCAACAAAACCTTGTTAAACCGTCGCCATTATCACCTTGGCCTCCTCTTCCGAAGATTCCTCTTCGGAAGACTCTTCCCCGCTGAGGGTGTCAGAGTCCCTCTTAGCAGCAGGAGCCTGCACGAACCGCAGAAGATACAAAACCACTCGGTAACATACGGCGATCCCAAGTATACGAAACAGCACACCCCCGACACCACAATTGTTACCCGCTTGACACTTGCAACAAAGCCTCGTTAAACCCTCGCCGTTATCACCTTGGCAGCGGGAGCCTCCTCTTCTGAAGATTCCTCTTCGGAAGACTCTTCCTCGCTGTCGTCATCGTCGTCGGCAGGCTGCATAAACCCCAAAACGTCCCAACGACAAAGGTTAACAATAGAAATTCAGGTTGCATAAACCACTTTCAGGATGTATAAACCCCGAAACCCTAGACGAACGCTGAAAAGGCCTTGTGAAACGTCATGCTTAACCAAAGCGAAAGTGTTCGCACCTTGGCAGCGGCGGGCTTAGCAGGGGCTTTAACGGCAGGAGCCTCCTCCTCGCTCTCGCTCTCGTCCTCGTCCTCGCTGTCGCTGCTCTCCTTAGCGGCCTTCTTCGGCGGCGGCTTCTTCGCTGCGGCCTTGACGGCAGGCTTCGCTGCAGGCTTGGCTGCTGCCTGCAATTACAAGACCGGAAAAGGTTGCGGCTTAAAGCTTAATCACATCTGTTTAAGCGACGGAATAACCAAGTAATGCAATAATGGAAGTCAGTGAGTTTTTGGGCGCAGAACCATCTTGGTCGCAGTGAGCCTTCCAAAGTACCTTAGGGGCAGGAGCCTTCTTCGCCACTGGCGTGGCCTTCTTCTCGACCTTCTTCACGACTGCCTTCGCGGCGGGTGAGGCCTCGGCCTTTTTAACCTTCTTTGCGGGTGTCGTGGCCTTGGCTGGCTCGCCGGCAGCAGTATCATCGCGAGCTCTCTTCACTGCAAGCCCAAGGAAGTAATTGATTAGAAACACGGAGTTGAGCGTCGGCGTCTCAAACGTAGACACGTAATCGGGATAAGGGAGCTTGTATCAAAACTAACCTTTGGGTTTCTCTGCTGATTTTACAACCTGATAAGAAACCGAAGGAAATAAAAAAAAAAATCACGCCATTTTTTTTTTTAAGAAGAAATAAAATCAGTCAATGAACAGCAAAGGACCAGAAGGCAGCAGGAAAACAATGCCGCATATTTACCTTCTTCGTGTCCGCTTTAGCCATTTTCTGCTCTAGCAGGCAATAGAATGAAGAGGCAGTAATTTGACTAAGGAAAGAACGAGCTGACAGGCAAAATCAACTCGTGAAAGGGAGCTCTTCTGACTCAACAGCTAGAGCATTATACTTTTCGCAATGCTGCACCTGTCACCCAATTAGACCCATGGCACAACCTCAATGCTGGTTGTGGTGTTAGCGAACGTATCCGTTGGTAACTGGGAAAGAGAATTGTAGCAAATTCTGTCGCTGAGCGGAGAGTGCGAAAGGGTTTGGGGAGGGCGGGGTTTGTTCTTATTGGCTATCTCAAGGACGGTGCGACACACCGCTGCGCTTGTTGCTCCACAATATGAGGTGGTAGCGAACACGAAAGCGTTCCCCCGCCGCCATGGGCGAAATAGGGTTCCCCGTCGGGGCTTTGGGTTTCAGTTTAGAGCCACGTGGACCCAGAAAAAATATCTCTTGTACCTTTTGTGCTGACAGGGAGATCATTCGCGAGCAAACTGGAGGAAGGGGTGGTATTCCAGTTCACCCATTTCTATCCGGGTGAACAAGCATCTCCAAGTTCCAATGCAGAATTGGAGATAGTTAGGGCCTCGATGTGGTGTGTGTACAGTGGATAAGACATGTTTTCATATCCTTACCTATCTCCCATAGTTATGTTTGTCAGTCTCCCATAGTTAACTTCTAATAATGTATTAATGATTATCTTGTCCGTAACGCATGTTTCACACTTAAACTCATATATATGGCACTTTCTGAACAGCAATTGTTATATGAACAACACTTACAGGCAGTGTCTCGATACAAACAGATCCAGGTGTACGTTCTGTTTGAAGACCCTGCAGTATCGTACAAGTTGTTGGCGCGCGAATTGTTCGATTGGTGCCCCGGAAACGTGATACACGTGTGAGAGTTGAAAGCCGTTGGCTTCTTCGAGCACCTCCGCCATCCACGAGCCAGGTCAGCAGACACACCATGGTGACAACCAATCGAGCATGCCATGCTGGCAAACGCTTTGAGATCAGAGCCAGAGACGAAACTTTTGATGTGAACCGTGGGATGTCTCTCGATGTGTCCTGGAATCTCGCAATAAAGAAGATCGCGGCGCATCGTTCCATATTTTGATGCACCACGGCATACTGGCTGGGCCATCCGTGTTAGTCGTTTACTTGCGGAGCAGAGCAGACTCCTTGAAGTCCGCTCTCCTGTCAAACTGAGCAGTCTCCCTTCCCAGTCCCTGAAGTCTAACTTATCGTGTGTCTCCGCGTCCAATCGTGATCATGGCGATCCAGATTGCTCGTATGATTCAGCTGAGTGGCATGTTTGGAGTGCCAGTGGCCTCCCAAACCAAGATCACCACTAGCACCTCCAATCGTGCGTTTTCTAAAAGGATAGCTGTCACCGCATCGGCAGATAGCGAGGTGTGTACCGTGGCAACCAACTTAACTCTTTAATCATCAATGATCTTATTCGTCGCCTCAATCGTCCCGTTCGCACCCAGTCAATGTATTCTCTAACCTCCATTCCTGTATCCTTTTTTCTTGCATTCATTGCAGGGTATTTCGCGACGAGCAGTCATCACCAGCGGCTCGGCATTGATCGCATCGTTGGTAGCCTCGGCTGCCACGACCGACGCCGCGTTCGCCTCGGAGAGAATCAGCGCGCGCAAGGCGATTCTTGAGAAACTCCGCGCGTTCCGCGAAGAAGCCCTCGCTCCCGAACCTGAGCCGGAGCCCGTCCCGGAGCTCGCTCCTGAGCCCGAAGCAGTCTCCGAGCCCACGATCGAGCCTGTTCCGGATACAGCGGAGACCGAAGCCGTTGCTGAGTCAACCCTGGAAGAGACTTCTTCGGATGATGTGGCAGCAGTGGCCGATGTAGCTCAAGCAGACTTGACAGGCGTCGCAACCGTCGCTGATATTTCCGGCGCCGAAGCCTCTGGCTCCCCTGCCGTGCCGTCGCTCGACTCGGAGGTTGCTATTGCCGCGTAAGTCAGGAACGCGAAGCGGCGGGGGTGGCTTAGGGATCGCTGCAACGGCTGTCTGCAGAAATGTGAGTAGAACGGTTCGCAGAAAGGTACCAACCTACGCCGCACACCATATTCTTTTTGGAAAGGCAGTGCGGAACTAGCTACTTGGCTTTGATCAAACGCGGTTTCGCAACTGGCATTTCTTTCGGCTCTCTCCTAGTATCCTACCTTGCTAGTACCTTGTCCAAGCGCCATATGGTTGCTGGTACAATGAATGACAATAACACCATTAGGATGCTTCATAGTTTACTTAGCATTCTGCCTGCGGCACAGCTTAGAGAAAATGTGTTGTTTGTTTAGCAGCCTTATGGAACGCACTTTTTTGTCACTTTTGTACCCATACTGAGGCTCTGGCTTGAGGTCGTCAATACGCTCATTCTCAACCACACATGTGCAACAATATGCCGATGTGGACATACAGTAGATAGGCTTGACAACATATCCAAGGTGTAGCCTTGAAGTTATTCATGCATGGTGGTGGTGAAAGGGGGGTCAGACCGGTACCGAACGGTAAAGCAACTGACTCTATTTTTGCGTCATGTAGGGTATGTGTTGTGTGTGCAATCGAATGAATACGGGAGGCTTCCATACAAGAGGGGAGAGGAAACACAAGTGTGAGAGAGAGCATGCGAGAACGGTAATGTGCACATATCCAAGGTGTAGCCTTGAAGTTATCCAACAGGGAGCAGAGCACACAGGAGAGAGCAGGAACATCCACATAGCAGCAGCAGCAGCAGCCGCTGCAGCAGCCGCAGCAGCCATCCAGGCAACTATTAAGTCCTTGACCCACTCTGCTTGATGTATGTATGTCAGGAGCTCGGCCTATCATACTTAGAAGCACATGGAAAGAAGCGCGCTGGAGAAAGAGCGGAGTCATGGGCTGTGGACCATGTGAACATGTTAACCTAGACACTGTCCTGCCAGCCCAGCAGAACCAGCACGGCCACAACACCGTGCAGTGTTAACCTAGGGCAGAGTTGTGAGCAGTGCCGCGTGCTCATGTCTTGGGCTTCCTCCCCCTGCAACACAACACACAGTCCCACACGTGCATCACCACACAGCATACACAAAACAACCCATGGAGGCATGTATGAAGAGAGAGGGAAAGGGGAGAGGGGGATGGATTTTGGACTGAGAGGCGACCAGGAGGAAGGATAAAAGGTCGTAACCAGTCAGGTTGGGAAAAACAAGATGGGATGGTTTTGCTGGCATGGGCAGGCGGGGTGAACAGGCAGCCAAGATCCTTTGCCGCGGACGGAACACGACTAATAAGGGGGCGGTGTGGGGATGGGAGGAAGGCGAGGCGGCGGGGAGGCGAGAGACGGATTGGAAAGATAGCAAGCACAACGAGCGGCACATGCACCTCGCACTTCCTCGCCGTGGCCATTCACCTACCTCTGGATCCACACTTCCCCACGCATCCTCCTCGCAACACATCGCCCACATCCTCTAGCAATGACCTTCAATTCCCTAAACATCGCCCACTGGCGCGGCGGTTCCTGCGCTTACAATTCCCAACTCATCTTCCCCTCGCCTCGTGCAGCCAAGCGCAACCACAAGGGTAACCTCGGGGCTCTACATTCCTGTGCTTGACCCCCTCAGTCCGTGCTTCATTTCGTTTTGACAATGTCTTTTGAATTCTCACCTCTTCCCCTTGGTGGGTTTCGGAAGCGTCACGTCGAACCGCCTCTCGAACACTTGATCGCTGCACCCGAACAACACCCTAAGCGGCTCGGTCGCGCCCAGCCCCGCTGCCCGCAGCGCGTCATACCGCCTCTTAATTCTCGTCTGCAGATTGCAAGACAGCACAGCAGGCCACGCCGCAACCTCCGCCAGGTCGCGCCCCATCACCTCCGTCACGTATTCCAGCTTCCCCGCCGTCCTGTCCCACCGCCGCCGAAGCAAAGACGGGTTCGCCGAGACAAGAACCGAGGCCGCAGGCCCGGCGCCGCCGAACCTCCGTGCGATCTGCGTCAGTGTTTCCCGCACCGCGGTTTCAGACAGCGCGAGGATCTGCGGCCGGGCAAGAGCAACTGCCGCAGCGCCTTCCTCGCCGAGTACAGCGGAGAGCTGCTTGTATGTGTCGCGAGCCACGTCAGCACTCGCGGAGAGAAGCGGCGGGGAGCGCTGCACTAAGGGAAGCACGTCCGCGGAGCGATCAAGGCGGAGCAACGTGCGCAATGCCTCCAGCTTGCGCACCACATCCGCGCGCCCTCCGCCGTTCCCCGCCCCCAGCAGCGCGGGGTTGCGCTCAAGCGCTGCGCCAACTTCCGCTCCAAGGGAAAGGTCCGTGCGGAGGAAAGTGACTGTATCGGCTAAACCGTCTATGGGTTGAGAAAGGACGTCAGGACAGACAGCTACGACTCTAGCGAGATTGTTAATCCCCAAATCCCTGTCGAGGAAAGTCAAAACACTCGCAGCGTGCGCCGCGGGCGTCGTCAGCCAGTCGAGCGATCGCGAGAGCGCTTTGAGAAAAGCGGCGGGCGCGATGCGGAACGCGGAGAGCAGCTCGGCCTTGTCCCGCACGGCGGAGCCGTACTCCCGCCCCGCCAGCTCCGGCTGCGCGCGGAAGATGCGCAACACCTGCCCCCTGCGCGCGCCCACCGCGAACAAAACCCGCGCGTTAGCCTCGATAGTGTCGAGCGACGCGCCCGGCTCTGCGAGGAAACGGTCTTCCAGCGACGCCAGCACCTGCTGCACGTCGCCCTCGTTCACCTCCCGCAATATTCCCCCCTCCGCCTCCGCTTCCGCTTCCCCCTCCGCTGCGAGCGTTAGTGTGCTCTCCCCGCCGCTGGAAATCTTATCCTCGTTAGTAACGTCGGCTCGAATTGCGCCGTTTGCCGCCTTGCCACTGCGCTCTCCTTCTTGTTGTGACTGCGTCCGGGTGGTTAGCGATGCCGCCGCCGCTAATTCTTGCGGCTGGTCTGAGAGCGGTCCGGACACAAGAGAGAGATCGTACTCAGGAATGCGTGCGGAAGAGGAGGAACGAACAGCACCGTTCATTGGCGCGCGGCCGATGGATCGCTCCATTATCCCGCCCTCTGTCCCCGCAACCTCCGCTACCGACCGGTGGCGGTAACTCGATGAGCGCCCCTTCTTCTGCCATCCACTTTTCTTGACGGGCGTGTGTGATAATAGCGGGTGGAGCTTCGATGTTGATACGAGGCGCGCTCCGGCGAATGAGGAGATTCGGCTAACCCATGATGGTAAGCGGCATGATTTCTTCCCACCGCCGCCGGAGTTTCTGGCGACAAGGAAGCCGCTGCTGGCGGCGGCGGTCCCTCGAACAGGCGCACCGACCTGGGCCGTCGAGGAAAACGCCATGCAACTAAGTCAAGTGTCGAGCGCAATCGCAATGACGGAGTTGAAGACGTAAGGGGAGACGAAAGGACGCTGAGCAGGCTAGAGGCGAGTCTAAAGGCTAGAGGCGAGAAATGAGTTCCTCGCACGCAGGTATCGTCCCCAAAAAAACGAGAGATCTGAACAGCGAGCACCTCGTGATACGAAATGTGTGAGATGAAGTTCGAGGTGGCAAATGTGAAAGGGTGGGTGGGGGAGTATGGGGGAGGCTGGGATGGCAGGGCGGGAAGGGCTGGGTTGGTTGGCCTAGAGAGCGATCTGTAGGGGAACGTTGGATTAACGCCTGGTTTTGGGTTTTAGAAAGAGAACCGCGAAATAGATATCTGAGGTCCAGCGCTCAATTCGTGTCGAGAGCCCTGTGGCGAATCTCACCTTAGCTGGCTGTTGCTCGCGGGAAGGGCTTCTTCCATTCGCTGCATGCAGAATCGAGTCGACGTCATCCAGGTCGCAGCGAATAGGAGGCCGCAAATGCGTCGCAGCATGGAGAGTACAGCGGGTTCCCCCGCAATGATATTTTCTCCTTCCTGTTATCCCTCCTGCATCAACTTCCGTTGGGATCCACGTCAGTCCTATGCATCCCGCCATCAGCAGGGGGGAAGGTGGAGATTGAGCTGCAAATACGCGATCAGTCCAAGCTCAAAAGCTTCTATCATTACACCTGTTAATCTACAGCATTTTCAATTAAGTTGTCAAATAACTTGTCTTGGCTTTCCATGTATTAGTGAATCTGCACTCTGTTAATCAGGATTTTATAACCATATTGGACATTGATTCCTAAATATTCTAAGGAGCGAGTGCACCCGAGTGCAGCTGCATCTACCGTAAATGCTCCTGTGGAGCCACATAAATGTCATTGACCAATCTAACGTTGAGGGGTGGCAAGTTTATGCACCATTTGCGGGAGCTCCTTATTGGGCACCCCAGGTCCCCTCCCTCAAAGCAGCCAAACTATGAGGGAGGTGGAAGTGAATGGGAGGAAGATGGCTTTTGTGTGTGAGGGGGAAGGCCGGAAGGGGAGGAAAACCGTTTCCCTCAAAACTCCGCGCCTATCTAAACTCCTCATGCCCCTCCTCATCATCCTCATAGTTGTACTCCCCACTGTCATCCTCATCCCAGTCGTCATCATCGTCCTCCCCATCATGGCCGTAGTGGTGGTACCCAAGGTGCTGGTGGTCATCATCCTCCTCGTCGTCATCGTGCTCATGGGAGTGGGGAGTGTGCGGCTCTGAGTGCTCCTCCACCACATCATAGAAGGCTGACCAGTTGCGCAGCATCTCGTCCAGTGACAGGTGCTTGTCCTTGTTGTCGTCCGCCTGCTCGCACACCATTCAGACGACACACGGTAATGTGCGGTGAGTGAGAGTGAGAGAGAGTAAAGGAGCGTGATCGAGCGAAAGAGAGGGAAAGAGCTGAGAAGAAGAGAAAGAGCAAGGAGATGGAAATTGCAGCAGCAGAGGCAACAGCAAAGCAGTGGCAGAAGCAGCGGGCTGACCTGGGTGAGCATGTGTTTGGCCTGTTCTTCGGCGAAGTGGTATTCGTTGGGCGCCAGCGCGTACAGCAGGTTGTCTGCGAACTCGTTTACGTCTAGGAACCTGCAAACCAGGGGAGGATGGATGAGAAAAGAAGGTTTGAAAAGAAGCAAAAAGAAGTACGCCCAGCAGCAGAGGCAGCAGCAGCAGCGGTACTCACCCGTCGTCATTAAAGTCCGAGTCCTGGAACCGCCTCCTCGCCTCCTCCTGCCACACCTCCAGCGGCTTCTCCTCCTCCACATGCCCGTGCTCGTGCCCGTGGTGCTCCGCATGGTGCGCATGGTGCGCGTGGTGCGCATGGTGCGCATGGTGCTCGTGATGCGCATGGTGCCCATGGTGCCCGTGCTCGTGGTGCGCGTGTTGCTGCTCGTGCGCGTGCTGCTCGTGCGCGTGCTGCTCGTGGCCGTGACCGGGCATCTTGAGCGTGTCGGGGTGCGGCGCGAAGCGGTGCTCCTCCCACTTCTCGTACTCGTCGTCGAACGCCTTTACGTCCTCCCACGCGCTCTCGAAAAACTCCTCGAAGCTCAGCCGCCCGTCCCCGTCCTTGTCGTGCGCCCTGCACTCGCGCGCGCGCCCACGGCAGGGAGGAAAGAAGGGCGTTGCCCGTTGAACCCAGGAGCGAATATTATTGGCCGGAAACCAGAAACTAGGTCAGCACACGTGGTACGAGCTGCTAGACACTTTGCATTCCAAGTCCCCAATCCACATACAGCCCGTCTGCAATGTACAAGCATGAACTCTCGTCCTGCACGCGCACACGCGCGAGAGCAAGCGCAGGCGCAAGCGGAAGCGCAAGCGAAAGCGAGAGCGCAAGCGCACCTGAACTCTTCGTCGCGCACGGAGCGAGTGAGATTCTCGTTGTTGCTGTCCTCGGGGTGTAGAAAGGCGTTGAACTCTTCTTCGTTCAGCAGCCCGTCGCCGTCCGTGTCCGCCATGGGGAACCGCTGCTTGCTCAGGTTCACGAAGCTCTGCAGACTCTCGTCCCACTCCGATGACACTGCTCCACGCACGCACACATACGCACACATACACGCACATACACGCATTGACGCAACACGGACATGCACAAGCGCATACTTTCGCACGACTAGCGGTTAGGAAGGCCGGCTAGAGGCAGTACAGTACAGCGAGGAAATGGTGGAGCGGCTAGCGCGGGGAAGAAACAAGCACCGAGGAGCGACCAGCGAGAACGCGCCGAGGCAATGTAGGGGAAGGGACGCGGACGAAGGACCCGAAGCGAGAATTTGCGGGTGAGCGATAGCGTCATAGACGGCGACTGACCTTCGTCGCCTTCCGAGTCGTCCTGCAGATACTCCTTGAGCGAGATGAACCCGTCGTGGTTCGCGTCCGTGATCTCCATCTCGCGCCGCGTGCGGTGCGCGCTGCTGCGGTGCGCCTGCTGCACCTGCCACATGGCGAGCTCGTTGAGCGAGATGTACCCGTCGCGCTCGTCCGTGTCAATCAGCGGGAACAGCGTGCGGATGCGCGACGAAACGTTCACCTTGCTCTCCACGTGCGCTGCGGTCGCTCAAACGGCCACGGGATTTGGACAAGGAGCGGGGCGAGGAGGTGGTGAGCAAGCAGAGTCTAACGCACGATAAGGTACGTAAGCGCTGGTGAAAAAACAAAGTGCTACCACCAGTGCCGTGCCGGCAACGGAGTTCCACCTCGCGTTTTTCACGGCGGCTGTTATTTCGAGTCCATGGCGTCGCGAGCTGCGCACCTGGATCCATGTGGTCGTGCAGGTGCTGCAGCTCCTCGTCCTCCACTTCCTCGCCGTGCACATACTCGTGCTCGTGCCCGCCGTGCTTCGCGCTCTCGTTCCCGCTCCCCGGCCCGTGCTCGTGCCCCTGATGTCCCCCGTGCCCGTCGGTTCCGTGTCCGACGGTGTAAACAGGCTCGACTTTCGTGTGCACGTGCACCTCCTCGTGGTGCTCTCGGAAATAAGCCTCCTCCCACGAGTGGTCGTCTTGCTTCGTTTCCATCTCCGCAATTAGCGGGTCGAACGTGATGTGGTCCAGTTTCGGGTTCACTTCCGTCGTCGCGCGGTGGAGTTTAATCACCTGTTCGCCCGGCTCCTTCACGTACCGTCTGCGGCCGCCGTCCAAGCGTCGGCGGTTGCCGTGTTTGTGTTTACCATGGTGGTGCGAGGAGGGCCCCGAGAGGAGCAGGAGCCCTACGACTAGAGTGACGCAGAAGGCATACACCACAGGCGCCTTGGGACTGCTGCCATGGGAAATGGTGTGCATCTTGACGAGCAGGCGGCGTGCTCAGGGGGAACTGATAGCGGCGAGAGTACGCTGGAGTTTCAGCCACGGGGTTCAACTTGTCGGCAGGGTTATAAGCCGTCGGAATGGCTTACTATCGCAATGTTGGTATAATCATGGAGGTTGAATGCTGGCCACTGCGCTATATGGATACACGAGTTTGGAATACATATATATCAGGAGGTGAAATGACATCAAGCAGATCAGGGATTGCAGAGAGGCGCGATTTCCCCGAGTGCCGAACATCAAGGGGGCGGAAGCGAGGGAGCGAGGGAAGGCAAGCAACGCGACACATTCAGCGCGACCCGTCGGGCATCTCGCTCCCACATTCGCGGTGACATCGGTGCGGTGCGTGACTTGAGTGGTGTTTGGACAACGAGACATGTTTTGCGGGCGCGGGGGAGTGAAGAAAAAAAACGCGCAGCGCCGTTGAGCTTGTGTTTTTTGGTCGTTGGTGTGGGGGGTCAGTGAGGCGGATCGTTTGGCCGACACACAAAATATTTCAACAAACTGGAAAGGAGGGTTTCGATTCGATGCTGACCGTCTCCCTCCCACCGAATTCTCGGGCATCGTAGAAAACCGCCGCACCGCTCCCCTAACGTTCACAGCTGTCACCAGTAATCGCTCGCTATAGCGCTTGCAGACAAATATGATTATGTCTCATCATCCTTGAAGATGAAGTGCTCAGGTACAGCACATGTAAAGCTAGTACATGCATGGAGGAGTATTTATTAGAGGTAGGTAGCAGCATCATAATTGAACAAAGGATATAGATAAATACCACTAAATCCCTAAATAAATACCATCGATTGACCTTTTGGTGTTGAAATCAACCATTCCAGATCTCATAAGGCAGGTCGTATCTACTTATTATGACCACCACTTCCAACCAGACAGAACCTAGCGCATCAGTGTTATTCGGTCAATACCAGCTAGCCCAACAGCCTCTTCAAAGTTCTGAAATTCAACAGATTCACCCGCATCACCTCTCGACTTATTTCTTTCGCGTCTCCGTTCAATGGCAGCTGCTCCATCGCTCGCGTTCTCGCACATTCTCCTATTTAACTCGCGCTCTTCCGCGGCGGCTATCGTTCCTACCCTCGCCCCCCATTATCCCTCGCAGTGCTTCCTCTCCTTCCCACTGGCCGCGCCTCTCTCGTATTTACTCCCCGCTCGCTCCCTTCCTGCTACTCGTTCTAGACTACGCTTCGGAATCTCCGATTTTCCCGCCGACCCCCTTCGTGTAAGCTGCTTCCGCGTCCGCGGCGGCAGCGGCTCCACGCCATTCCGACGTGGCATTCACTTGACCCCACAAGGCGTTTCATTGGCTCCGGTCGGCGTGCCGGCCGCGCATTTAGGTCTCCGCGTATCGCGCAGCGCTCGAATAGACTGGCGACGTGGGAGAGGCAGGCGAGTGTGGAGAGGCCGCGCAAACGCAGCAGACTGTAGCGGGGAAAATGGCGAGGGGGACACTAGTGATGGGAGGAATTCCGACCCTGGGGGAAATCCCCCCCCAGAGGCATTTCCAAAGGCCGCAGATACTGCAGTAGCAACCGAAGCAAGAGCGGAAGTTCCGACGCCTGGCGGAGGTGGCGGAAGTGGCGGAGATGGGGGGAAGTGGACGGAGGTTGCGGGTGTGGATGCGCGGGGGAAGGCGGAGCAGGCGGAAGGGCACGAGGGGAGCGAGTCGGAGTGGGTAGCAGACGAGGAGGCGGAAGATGCGGAGGGGGGCGAAGGCTCAGAGGAGGAAAGCGAAGGGGAGTGGGATGGGGAGGAGGGGGAGGATGGTGAGGAGAGGGATGGGGATGCGGGCAAGGAGGCGATTCGGCGGGAGAGAATCAGCGAGGCGAACAGAGGGCGCGTGCCGTGGAACAAGGGCAGGCGGTGGAGCGATGGTGAGCGACATGCGGGGGAGAGGGGGGGGAGGGGAAGCAGGCGGTCAGAGTGGGCTGATTGTGTGTGTGGTTCACGTTCACCATGTGTTACTATGCCTTTCCTCACTTCTCCCTCTCTACTGCTGTCCTTTCCTCCCTCCATCCCCCTCTCTCTTCCCTGCTCCCTTCCCTTCTTTCCCCCTAACTCTCCCTCCTCCCCCCTCCCTCCCCGCCCACTTGGGCGGTGCGGCGCGCCACGGGGCGGGCAGAGGTGCGCGCGCGGATAAGGGAGCGCACCAAGGTGGCCATGAGCGACCCCAGCATCCGCGCGCGCCTCAAGGAGCGCGGCCACCGCCAGAGGTGCGCGCAGGGGGAGGTGGGGGCGGGGGGGTGAGGGCAGGGGGAGGTGGGGCAGGGGGAGGTGGGGGCAGGTGGGGGTGGGGGCAGGGGGAGGAGGCGGCAGGGGGGGTTGGGGGCAGGGAGGAAGAGGTGCAGGCTTAGGCAGAGATACGACTCCTCCAAGGCAGCTCCTTGCTGCTCACACGACAGTTTGCAAGCACAGCTGCAGCTATCGCTCCCCCCCACCCACCGCTGCCTGCCTGTCAAGCACCCGTTTCCCGGACCTCTTCTCCTCCACACCTCCCCCACCCCCTTCTCTCCCCTCTCCTGCTCCCCGCCCGTCCCCATCCCACTGCATTCACACCCCCTTTCGCTATCTCCTCTTTCCCCAAACTCTCCAACTCCTCCCTCCTCTCCGTCCCCACCGCCCTATCCCCCCATTTTCCCTTTCCCCACCCCCCGTGCTTTCTCCACCCCCCCGCCTGCGCCCCCCCTTCCCCCTCCCCGTGCTCTCACTGCCCCCTCCTTTGCACCTGCGCGCAGTGTGGAAACGCGCGCGCTGATAGCAGCAAAGCTGCGCGCCAACTGGCAGCAGCGCCACGAGCACATGGCGCTGGTAGCCGCGCTGCGCCGCGAGTGGCACGCTGAGCTGGCGCGCGCTGCAGCAGCCGGCGGCGTGGGCGAGCGGGCGCTGGTGCGATGCCGCAACGGGCGAGTGCTGTATGCTGATGAGGCGGAGGCAGGCAGGCGGGGGAGGAGAAGGCGGTGGAAGGGAGGTGGAGGGGAGGTGGACAAGGAGGGGGAAGGGGATGGGGGGGATGGAGGGTGGGGTGATGTGGGTGAGAGTGGTGAGGGTGGGGAGAGGAGGATGCGGAGGAGGAGGCAGGTGGAGGGGGTGGTTAGGGGGAAGCACAGTGAGGAGCACAGGAAGCGAATCAGCGAAGCCATCAAGGCCAAATGGGCCGACCCTGTAAGGATGAAGCATGGGCATGGGCATGGGCATGGGCATGGGCATGGGCATGGGCATAGGCATAGGCATGGTTGGGCAGGGGGGAAGGTACAGGCCACAGTCGTTGGGTCCTATTGGTGGGGAGAGGAGTGGTGTGAGCTATGCTCATCTTTTATGTGCCCTGCTCTGCTCTGCGTGCATACATGCATGCGTGGGTGTGCGGGAGGGTGCGTGCGTGCGTGAATATGTGCATGCATGCAGGAGTATCGCAGTCGAGTGGCATCGGCTGTTCGCCTGGCAAGACCCAACAGCAAGAGCAGCGACGACACCACTAGCAGATCCGAGAGCAAGAGCAAGCGGGCAGAGAGGCGACGGGCCACAAGCGGGGAGGGAGGAAGGCCACGGCAGCAGCAGCAGCAGCAGCAGGAGGAGGAGCAGGCAGGCAGCAGGGGAAGGCTCTGCTGTGCTGGGTGATGCCAGTCCAGAGAGTTCCCGTGAAGGTATTCCTGGTAGCGGTGATGCTGCTGCTGCTGCTGCTGCTGACGCGCATGATTCCAGCGACGCAGCAAAGGCAGCAAAAGCGGCGGCGGCGGCAGAGGTGGTGGTGATTCCAAACCCAGACGAGGCGTTTGTTGAGCTGGTGATGGCTGCCGAGGCGCAGAGCGGTGAGAGAGGCTCCTTGCAGGGGGACGCAGGCAGGGAGGAGCACGGGCAGCAGGGGGGGGTGGAGGGAGGAGAGAGAGGCGCGGAGGGCGAGGAAGGGGAGCGGCAGGAAGGAGGGTCGGGGGGAGTGGTGACGCCGTTTAAGCGGGTTGTGATTGTGTCGCAGAGAGGAGGGGCGGAGAAGCGTGGGAATGGCGGGGAGGGGAGGGGAGATGAGGGTGATGGTATAATGAGCAGAGAGAGAACAGGAGAGGCAGCGTTTGATGGGTCGGCTACTCAAGACATTGGGGACATTGGGGGGGTTTGGGAGAAGCTAGGAGAGGAGGTGGAAGAGTGGGGGAGCGAGTGGGAGGGGGAGGAGGGGCGGAGCGAGAGACCGGAGAGGCAGGGGGGAAGGGGGAGAAGGAAACAGGCGTGGGTGGGTGGTGCATGGGACGGTGTGCTACTAGGGGGGGGAATGGGACTAGGGGAAGGGCTTGGTGAAGGGTTGAGGAAGAGGGGCACATGGAGGGGTGCAGAGGGGCGAGCAGGTGTAAACAGGGAAATGCCGTGGCAGGAGGTGCTGAGGGAAGGGGAGAAGGACGGAGGAGGGGGGAGCAGCGATGATGGGAGTGGCGGTGGCGATGGGGGTGAGAATGGGGTGTTGGGTGGGGTCAACGGGAGTAGCAGCACAGACAGCAGCGACAGCAGCAGCAGGAGCAGTGGAGTGGGAGATGATAGTGGTGACACGGACGAAACAGGCGCGTGGGACGACAGGGGTGGTTCTGCTTCTGCGTCTACATCTGCGTCTGTGCCTGCATTGGATGCTCAGCAGAGCATGACACGGCACATGGTGGCTCGCCGGCGAAAGCAACTGGCAGAGCGAGCACGGTGAGAAAGAGTGATGCAAGACTACGTGCGCCATTGCACTGTTGTCTCTTCACAATGCCATGTGACCTTGCACCAAGCATGTATACGCTGAATGCATCGAACCACCCATGCGTCTCCTCGCTGTTCCCCTTCCCTCTCACCTCCCTTCACCACTCCTGACCGCTCCCAGGCTCACCTCTCACCCTTGTCATCTCGTCCCCCTCTCCGGTACCTACCACTGCACCTCCCACTTTCCCCACCCTGCACCCACCGCTACTGTGCTTCCCTCTCCCTCCCCACCCCATACCTCTCATCACTCCTTTCCTCCTCCCCGTTCCCCTCCCCCCCAGTGTGTTGATGGCGGAGGCGGAGCAGGCAGCGCAGGCGCTGGCAGCGGTGGCGGGAAGGGACAACCGTGCCATGGCCTCTCTGCTCGAGACACGGCGCTTGCTGGACGAGGCCAGGCGCGCAGTCAGGGAGGCTGAGGGGCCGCAGGGTAGTGATGAGGGGGAGGCGAGGCAGGCAGGGCTGGGTGAGGTGGGGGAGGAGGGTGGCCGATAGGGCAGGCAGCGTGGGTGGCTGTGTGGTGTGGTGTGGTTATGCCATCGTCTATAGCGGCTAGCTGTGAGAGAGGAAAGCAGCACACTTGGGCTGGGGAGATGCTGGAGTGCAAGTAAGGAGCAAAAGATATTGAGAAATTGGAAACAGCACGTGATTCAAGATGGATTGGGTTTGTTCGTTGCATGGCGTAACTCAAACAGGGATAGCCCTGTCAAGCTAGAGCAAAGCCAGGGTTATGAAATGTATGAATATTCTACCTTATTGGGAAGCCAGGGTTATGAAATGTATGAGCAATCATTCTTATTTTGTTATTATTTTACAATGCAGTACATATTTTGCCATTCACCCAATCATTTGTGCTTGAAACCTTTAAATTGACAATTCTATTGGTATAACGATCATAAAAATAAGGCAGATATTCAAATCACATCATTCAATTCGGCTCATTCCCCACCCCCATACCAGGTTTTAACCTTTGGGATCTATGCAATTTGGCATATATAGGCATTCCAGTCGTACATGGTACCTGCACTACGGGCACGCATACCGACCAAACTGACCAGCGCATTACTTATGTTTGTAGAGATGCAACTAGTACGTTTTTCTTGCCAATCTACTAGATTCGGCCTTCTACCGTATTCTCCCGGACAAAACACCCCCCCATGATAGAGCACCCCCGGGTAGCTTGTGCGGGGTGGGTGCTATGGGCGACCTCGTTTTCACTATACCCCCCTTTTTGGCTGATTTTCTATAACACCCTCCTTTTCTTACGGATTCGTTATTATAGTCGTTAACGAGTAGCTGCAATACGGAAGAATATCGCGAAAATTTATACCTCGATGAAATTTCGCGTTACTTTCTCCCTCAATCTGCCGAGATTTCCCCCCTCCCACGATTTCCCCCTGCCACGTGCTGGTGAATCTTCAGATGCAAGTGGCCAGCAAGGTGCCACATGGCATATTTGTGGGGGTGATGAAGTTCGCGACCGAGACTCACATTCGCGCCTCAGATAGTGATGTTAAAACGACCAACAAAACACCCACATTGTCTAATTTTAAAAACACTAACAGTAGAAAATGCCATATGTAAGGACCCGGGTATTATGTAGCTTTTTCCTATGAGAAGACACCCCCCTTTTTTTTCCTGTATTTTTACAAATACCCTAGGGTGTTATATCCGGGAGAATACGGTACCTCAACACCATTAGATTTTAACCTTTCCGATCCACATAGTTTGGGAGATTTCAGAGTTCCAGCTCCGCCTTGTACCTACACACAAGCGAGCATACTGACCAGGCCTCAGTTATCAGGAGAATTTATCTTGAGTGTCCTGAGCTCAGGTTAGGAGTCGTGTGCTGCTCCTGAAAAAACAGCATAATGGATTTACTTGTCCTGTAAGATCAGTATAGTGGTTACATAGCGTACAGACAATTCAGTATAATCGTGTAGGTTCAACTCTGTTCATTCAGGGTAGTATAGAATCTCGCACTGAAACGAGACGTACTGAGGAGAAAAATTCCTATCTAAGTGTACCCAAACAACGGGAATAGGCTTCGCGCCCTCGATATCATCGGCAAGGAGCCAACAAGGATCGAGCTGGCGGCCTCCCGTACGCCAGGCCGACGTCTTAGTCGCTACACCACTCTCTGGTGAAATACTAGCTACTATGATATTTCAGTCTAAAGCTTTTAATAACACTGACAGATCAGGGTATCTTACCCTGTGTAGCCCTGATGAATAAGGGCAAAATATGCTTTTCTACTAAGCAGCCCTGATGCATCAGTGTAGCCTAGAATGAATCTGAGGGCCTGATACTGACCGATCCGACCATCATAATATTTTTATTTTAGAAATACAGTGCATACCATATATTTTCCCATTTCCTTCAAATTACACCATTCCCCACCTCCATACCAGGTTTTAACCTTTGAAATCTATGTAATCTAGCATATGTAGGCATTCCAGTCGTACATGGTACCTGCACTACGGGCACGCATGTCGATCATACTGACAAGCGCACTATGTATGTTTGTAGAGATGCAATTAGTACCATTTTCTTGCCAGTCTACTAGATTAGGCCTTCTACTTCAACACCACTAGGTTTTAACCTTTCGGATCCACATAATTTGAGAGATTTCAGAGTTTCAGCTCCGCCTTGTACCTACACACAAGCGTACATACTGGCCGAACCGACCAACGCATTATTTTCACTGTAGAAACATAGAGAATACCATATATTTTCCCATTTCCTTCAGATTGCAACATTCCCCACCCCCATACCAGGTTTTAACCTTTGGAATCTATGTAATTTGGCATATGTAGGCATTCCAGTCGTACATGGTACCTGCACTACGGGCACGCATGTCGATCATACTGACAAGCGCATTATGTATGTTTGTAGAGATGCAATTAGTACCATTTTCTTGCCAGTCTACTAGATTAGGCCTTCTACTTCAACACCACTAGGTTTTAACCTTTCGGATCCACATAATTTGGGAGATTTCAGAGTTCCAGCTCCGCCTTGTACCTACACACAAGCGTGCGTACTGGCCAAACCGACCAACGCATTATTTTCACTGTAGAAATATAGAGAATACCATACATTCTCCCATTTCCTTTAAATTGCAACATTCCCCACCCCCATACCAGGTTTTAACCTTTGGAATCTATGTAATTTGGCATATGTAGGAATTTTAGTCGTACATGGTACCTGCACTACGGGCACGCATATCGACCAGACTGAAAAGCGTACTATGTATGTTTGAAGAGATGCAATTAGTACCATTTTCTTGCCAGTCTACTAGATTAGGCCTTCTACTTCAACACCACTAGGTTTTAACCTTTCCGATCCACATAATTTGGGAAATTTCAGAGTTCTGTCAGAATAACTGAACGAGGAATGAATGAACTAGCTCAGAGTTTGGTACAAGTAGGAAACCCTAACTTTGTGTACCCCCTAAGGTGTAACCCACTACAGCCTACACAATATAAACATACAATGTTTGACACACCCCCATAGGCGAAGTGGGAGACAACCACAGGGTCATGAGACCAGTCAAAGCAAAGCAAAGCAAGCTCAGGGTGGATCTCAAGGATACCACACAAATTCTGAGCACAAGCAAGTGGTCACAAGACTAGTTCACATGCAGTTTCATAATATAGCAAGAGATACAATGATCACAACCTAGCAAGTGTAAACATGCAGGTATATATATATATATAAGATCACAGTACAAGCAGAGTCAAGAAGTAAGCAAGTGAGGTCCAGCAGGCACAAGGCCTAGAAGAGTACAGAAACGCTGATGGTCACAAGGCTGAAGCGCCTTGGTGAACACATCAGCAAGGTTGGCCTCAGTGGCCATGTAACGCAGACGAAGCTGACCACGCTGCTGCAGCTCTCGAGCAAGGAAGTACCGCAGGGCGATATGCTTCGTTCTGTGCTCCAGTCTGTGCTCCTCACACAAGGCAATGGCAGCCTGGTTGTCGACGTACAGCACTGGAGGAGAACGAGGCCGCTCTCCCAAGTCGGTCAGCAGGTAGGTCAGCCAGCGTAGCTCCTGGGCAGCCATGGCTGTGGCGTAGATCTCAGCCTCACAACTGGAGCTGAGAACAGAAGAAGAGCGTGTAGAACGCCAAGAAACTGAGCCAGAGCCAAGGCTGAAGGTGTAACCCTGAGACGACCGCTGAGTAGCCTGGTCGTCAGCCCAAGAGGCGTCTGAGTGTCCTGTGAGTACAACTCGGTCTCGCCCTCCAAGCACTAGCCCCATGCCCGACGTACTGCACAAGTAGCGCAACACCCTCTTAGCGGCATCCATGTGCTCCTTCCTGTGACGGCCAGGAGCGACATAGCGTGCAAGGATGCTAAGAGGGTATGCCAGGTCAGGTCGAGTGCAGGTCATCAGGTACATGAGACAGCCCACAAGCTCTGGATACGGGCCACTCGGCTCTACGGACTCATCCGAAGGCAGAGCTGAGAGCGAGTGACCGGTAGGCAGAGGAGTGGACTGAGGCGAGGAGTACGTGAAGCGGAAGCGCTGAAGGATCTGCTGCACCATGTGTGACTGAGTCAAGGTGATGGTGCGCCGTGCTCTGTCCCGGGTGATCCGCAAGCCAAGATAGCTCGTCAGTTCCCCCAGGTCTGTGCACGTGTGTCTCCTCTGCAGCTCCGACTTCACGTGGGCGAGTGCCGCGGTGTCAGCGGTGGCAAAGACCAAGTCGTCGACGTACACGAGAATGTAGAACGGCGGCAGCGAGGTGTCTGTGCGTAGAAACAGTGACGGGTCAGCAGTAGAGGGAGCGAACCCTAGAGCCGCAAGTGTCGTCCTCAGTGTGTCGTGCCACTCACGCGGTGCCTGGCGGAGACCGTAGACCGGCCGCTGGAGCCTCCACTGGAGTGGAACCAGGAGGAACCGACCCAGTGAAACCAGGAGGGCGACGCAGCCAGATCTCCTCGTGTAGGCTGCCCTGTAAGAAGGCAGTGCTGAAGTCAAGTGAGTGAAGCTCGTAGTCGCGCTGAGCGGCTATGTGCAGCAGCACCCGAAGAGTGGTCATCTTCGGGGTGGGGGAGAAGGTCTAGAAGAAGTCAACTCCCTCTCGCTGGCTGAAGCCTCGAGCAACGTAGCGCGCCTTGAAGACAGGAGGAGAACCCGGCGGCCGCTTCACCCTGAAAATCCACATGCCACTGACGATGTTCGCCCCAGGAGGGGGAACCTCGTTGACGTAGGTGCGTGTGGACTTCCAGGAAGCCATCTCTGCGTCCATGGCTGTCTGCCACTGAGAGGAGTAGGGACCCGCCATCGCCTCAGCGTAAGAGCGCGGGGTCGGGATGTCAGGAGCATCCGGGTCTCCCTCAGGGGCAACTAGTAAGGACACGAGACGGGGCAAAACAGCAGCAAGGCACTGGAACTCCTCCTGTCTGTCCTCAAGGACGTCCGTGCCAAGAGCACACTCACCCCCGACGGACGGAGGACAGACAGACTCAGACTCAGACTCAGCGACAAGGCTAGCAGCGTAGTCTAGACGACACCGGGCAGCAAAGTCAACCAGCTCAGCGACCAGCGCAGACGCAGCAGAGGACTCAAAGGTAGGGTCAGTGACAACAGTAGCGAGGAGGCGCGTGACAGTGGGACTGGCAGCACGACGGGAGTCAGACTCCGGGTCAGGAAGAGTAGGAAGAGAGGAAGCGGGAGGAGACGGTAGCGGGACACGCTGAGGAGCAGTGGAGGGACGCAGAGTCATGTAGTGAGTGCCAGGGACAGGAGGAGGACGCTCACGTGGGACACGACGACCAGTGCGAGCAGTACGAACAGGACGAGACTCAGGCTCACGACGCTCTGTAAGACCTCCCGTGGGACCAGTGTAAGGAGAGGGAGCAGGGAGAGGCGAGGCAGGCGGTAACTGTGACTGCGGCGGGACAGGCGGAGGACACTATACGGAGGGAGGAGGACAAGGAGGAGGAGTCTGACCAAGAACCTGCTGAAGGAGCGGTACGAAGTACGGTCGCGGCCGCGCAGCGTCTCCAGAACGAGCAGAGACACCAGCAGCAGGGTCCTCAGTACCCGCAGTAGCTCCAACGTCCGGGTCCTCAGCACCAGCAGCAGCTCCACCACCCGGGTCCTCAGCACCAGCAGCAGCTCCACCGCCCGGGTCCTCAGCACCAGCAGCAGCTCCACCGCCCGGGTCCTCAGCACCAGCAGCAGCGCCACCGCCCGGGTCCGCAGCACCAGCAGCAGCGCCACCGCCCAGGTCCTCAGCACCAGCAGCAGCTCCAACGCCCGGGTCCTCAGTACCAGCAGCAGCGCCACCCCCAGGGTCTGCAGCACCAGGAGCACCACTCCGAAGACTGCAGCGCCGCGCGTACCACTCTCGGATCTGCTGAATGGGGGGGAGCTCCTGGGTAGGAGGGGAAGTACTGGTACGAGCAGCAGGAGCACCTCTCCGGAGGCGGCAGTACTGTAGGTACCTCTCCTGCAGCTGCTGGGAGGAGAGGGCTCCTCCAGGTGTAGCACGCTCAGGCTCAGCACCCCCAGACTCAGCACCCCTAGACGCAGCACCCCCAGGCTCAGCACCTCCAGACTCCGCACCTCCAGGCTCCGCACCCCCAGGCTCAGCACCCCCAGACTCAGCACGGTCAGGCTCAGCACCCCCAGGCTCAGCACCCCCAGACGCAGCACCCCCAGACGCAGCACCTCCAGGCTCAGCACCTCCAGACTCCGCACCCCCAGGCTCAGCACCTCCAGGCTCCGCACCCCCAGGCTCCGCACCCCCAGGCTCCGCACCCCCAGGCTCAGCACCCTCAGACTCCTCACGGTCAGGCTCAGCACCCCCAGCAGGACGAGAGTCAACAGCTACCTCGACAGGCTCAACCGGGTCTACCTGGGACACACCTGAGGGAGCGGCACCCTGAGGGGGGAGGGGGTCTGGTACCTCAGCACCTGGAGCGAGGAAGAGAGGCGGGGGGGGGAGCGGGGCAGTGCGGTAGGGGAAGAGGCGGTAGTAGGGGACGGACTCGTCAAAAGTGACGTCCTGAGAGGCCAGGACACGACGCGAGGTGGCGTGGTAGAACTGCCAACCAGGCGCGTCCGGGACAAAGCCAAGGAAGACACAGGGGACAGCGCGACGGGAGAGCTTGTCCGCGGACGTATCGCGAACAAAAGCTCGAGATCCCCAGACCCGAAAACACGACGCATCGCCAGCCTCTCCCGTCCAACGCAGTGTCGGAGAAGTCTCCGGTAAGGAGACACGGGGCCAGAGGTTGAGCTGATGCGCAGCGTATCGGACCGCAAACGGCCACAGAAAGTGGGGGGCAGCCGCATGAACCAAGGAGGTACGAGCGACCTCCATGACCAAGCCAATGCGGCGCTCAGCAACCCCATTCTGCTGTGGAGAGGCCGGAAGCGTGAACGACTGCTCAATGCCCTCCTGCTGACAGAAGGCCTCCAAGAGGCCAGAGGAAAACTCCCCACCTCTGTCAGAGTGCAGACGCAGGACAGGGAAGTCGGAGCGGAAACGCTCACTGAGCTGGAGACGAGATCTGCGGATCCAAGGGATCAGGACATCAGGGACGTCACCCTTGGCGCGCAAGGGGAAGACCGTGGTGTAGCGCGAGAAGTCATCAACAACAATCAGGAAGTACCTCTCCTGACCCTGACCACGGACGCGGGCTGGGCCCCACACGTCCATGTGGAGCGTCTGCAAAGGAGCAGTCGTCGGGGGGAAGGAGGAGGAGTGAGGAGCGGCGCGCTGCCGCCCCTCGACACAGGGAAGACAGGGAGGAGCAGGCGAGGGTGGCAGGGGAGGGAGAACCCTGGGAAGACCAGCAACAAGGTCCCGTTTGTGCATGGCCCGAAGGCGCTGCACAGACGGGTGACCAAGGCGGTGGTGCCAGAGGACAGTCTCATGCGCCAGAGAGCGACACGAGCAGGGGGCGGACAGCTGACCTGACGCAGACGCAGACGCGGACGCAGCTACCTGAGGGGACTCAGTGGTCAGTGTGTACAGGTCCGACCCCGGCTGCCGAGTGAAGGTAGCCAGGTGACGGCCCGTCCGAGCACACGTGCAGTGGGTCACGCGCTCGTAAGCAGGGGTGAACTGGTGAACACCCCCGTCCTGGAGCGCACTACCTGCCACCAAGTTCGTAGAGAACGAGGGGAGGTAGAGGCCTGACAGTGTGCCCGACGGGACCGCAGGACAAGGAAGGACAGTGGAGGAGGTCGCAACGACCGGACCCCCAGAGGGGTCAGCGAGGGAGACAGCAACTGGCCGAGCAAGCGGCTCAAGGACAGTGCGGTCACGAAAGAAACAGCGAGAAGCACCTGAGTCCAGGGTGAAGGTGTGCAGTGCTGCAGTCGACTCAGTACCAGGGGGGACGGACTCACTAGCACCTAGAGCAGCAGCCTCACCAGGACCTGGGGCAGCAGACTCACTAGCACCTAGAGCGGCGGCCGGACTGGTCAGAATGCCCGGGTCAGGCGGAACACGCAAGTACTGAGCACCCTCTCCACTAGTAAACATCGCATACATGGCAGTGAGAATAGCATCAAAGTCTAAAGCCCAGATATCAACTCCCTTCTTCTCCAGATCAGCCCAGTGGGGCAGGTCAGTGGCATCAGGAAACTGGGCCCGCCACGCGTCAGTAAGGCACGCAAAACAACGCTGTGTGGGATGCGGCCTCCCACACTGCTGGCCAGTGCGGTCACCAGTGCGAATGACGTACGTGCAGGTAAAGCCACGCTGCGCATACCACTCACGGGCGGCCTGAAGCGACGGGGCGGGCTGCTGACTCTGTCCACCGCCAGCGCCTCCACGACCACCACCGCCGCCGCCACCGCCCCGGCCACCTCCACCCCTGCCGCCGCCACGACCACCTCCGCCTCCGCTGCCGCCTCCGCCCCTGCCACCGCTCCCGCCGCTGCTGTCACCACCCCCACTGCCGCCACTAGCCTCTCCAGTCCCACCGCCACCCCCACCGCCACCACTCCCGCCTCCCCCGCCGCCACCTCCACCCTTGCCCCCTTTGCCCCTGCGGCGCCCGCTCGGAGCAGACGCAGCCCCGACCTTCTCAGCACCAAGGAGGTCGACAGCAGCAGTAGAGGCGACAGAGGGGAGGAGAGGGGAAGGGGAACACCCCTCAAAGAACGGGGTGCGGGGGTCGCCACGAGAGGTGCCTACAGCGACGATGCTCGCCTCAGCTGCAAGCAATTCCTTCTCGAGGAGGGCAATGGTGAGCTCAGTGGGAGAGCGAGCGAGGAAGTGATCCCTGACTGCGCGCAGAGAGTCAGGGAGGCGGGTGACGATGTGGTAAAGCGTGATCCAGAGCGGGGGGTTCCAGCTCCGCCTTGTACCTACACACAAGCGTGCATACTGGCCGAACCGACCAACGCATTATTTTCACTGTAGAAACATAGAGAATACCATATATTTTCCCATTTCCTTTAAATTGCAACATTCCCCACCCCCATACCAGGTTTTAACCTTTGGAATCTATGTAATCTAGCATATATAGGCATTCCTGTCGTGCATGGTACCTGCACTACGGGCACGCATGTCGATCATACTGACAAGCGCACTATGTATGTTTGTAGAGATGCAATTAGTACCATTTTCTTGCCAGTCTACTAGATTAGGCCTTCTACTTCAACACCACTAGGTTTTAACCTTTCGGATCCACATAATTTGGGAGATTTCAGAGTTCCAGCTCCGCCTTGTACCTACACACAAGCGTGCATACTGGCCGAACCGACCAACGCATTATTTTCACTGTAGAAACATAGAGAATACCATATATTTTCCCATTTCCTTTAAATTACACCATTCCCCACCCCCATACCAGGTTTTAACCTTTGGAATCTATGTAATTTGGCATATGTAGGAATTTTAGTCGTACATGGTACCTGCACTACGGGCACGCATATCGACCATACTGACAAGCGCACTATGTATGTTTGAAGAGATGCAATTAGTACCATTTTCTTGCCAGTCTACTAGATTAGGCCTTCTACTTCAACACCACTAGGTTTTAACCTTTCGGATCCACATAATTTGAGAGATTTCAGAGTTCTAGCTGTCAAACATTGTATGTTTATATTGTGTAGGCTATAGTGGGTTTAGCCTTAGAGGGTACACAAACTTAGGGTTTCATACTTGTACCCACCTTCCTGCTAGTTCATCCATTCTCGTTCTATTCTAGATTCTAACATGGTATCAGAAGCCTAGGTTGCTACCTAGGACCGCTTTCTACAATGGGCCCACTATTCCGCTAGGCGCGCCCTCGTGCGCCCTACCTTACGTGCGCCCTCGTGCGCCCTACCTTACGTGCGCCCTCGTGCGCTCTACCTTACGTGCGCCCTCGTGCGCCCTCGTGCGCCCTCGTGCGCCTTTCTCTAATGGTGCGCCTTCGTGCGCCCTCGTGCGCCCTCGTGCGCCCTCGTGCGCCCTCGTACGCCCTCGTGCGCCCTCGTGCGCTCTCGAGCTGCCCCTGCAGGTCCGTCAGGCCCTCGAGCCGCCGCTGCAGGCCCGTCAGGCCCGAGAGCCGCCCCTGCACACCCGTCAGGCCCGCGCGCAGCCTCTGCACGACCGCGCGCCGCCCCTGCAGGCTCTCGCCGCCCGCCGCGTCGCCCTGCCCGTGGCGTCGCCGCCTTCCCGCGGCGTCGTTGCCTGCCCGCGACGTAGCCCCTGTCCGCGGCGTCGTCGCCTGCCCGCGGCGTCGTCGCCTGCCCGCGGCGTCGTCGCCTGCCCGCGGCGTCGCCGCCTGCCCGCGGCGTCGTCGCCTGCTCGCGGCGTCGTCGCCTGCCCGCGGCGTCGTCGCCTGCCCGCGGCGTCGTCGCCTGCCCGCGGCGTCGTCGCCTGCCCGCGGCGTCGTCGCCTGCCCGCGGCGTCGTCCCCTGCCCGCGGCGTCGGCGCCTGCCCGCGGCGTCGTCGCCTACCCGCGGCGTCGCCACCTGCTAGCGGCGTCGCCCTACTCGCGGCGTCGCCACCTGCCCGCCGCGTCGCCCTGCCCGCGGCGTCGCCACCTGCCCGCCGCGTCGCCCTGACCTAATCCGCCTCTCGCCCCTGGAGCAGCCGCCACTGCAGCAGCAGCCCCTGGAGCAGCCGCCACTGCAGCAGCAGCCCCTGGAGCCGCCCGCCACTGCAGCAGCAGCCCCTGGAGCCGCCCGCCACTGCAGCAGCAGCCCCTGGAGCCGCTCGCCACTGCAGCAGCCGCCCCTGGAGCCGCCCGTCACTGCAGCAGCCCCCTCTGGAGCAGCACGCACCTGCAGCAGCCGCCCCTGGAACAGCCCGCACCTGCAGCAGCCGCCCCTGGAGCAGCCCGCACCTGCAGCAGCCGCCCCAGTGGCACCTGGAGCAGCTGCCGTCGCGGCCCAGCCTCGCCCTGCCGCAGCTGCCGCGGAGCTCCCTGCTGCGGCCCGGCCCAGCCCTGCAGTTGTAGCGGCCCCACTGTCGCCACCGTCTTGCGCCTGCCGCGCCGACCACTGGTGAGCATTGCCCAGTACTGCTGCAACTGCCTTTTCTACTCCCACTGCCACTGCTCCTGCTGTTACTACTGTTACTGCCGCTACTGCTACTACTGCTGCTCCTGACGTGGCCAGATGCAGCTCCAGGGCTGTGCGCGTGAGTCCCCCACGCCCCAGCAGCTTCGTGCGCGTGAGTGGTACGCTAGTCGGGGCTGTCGGGGTGGCCGTAGTGGTAGTCGCTCTGGAGTGGGTCGGTCGGGAGCTTCTGGTAGTGGACAGGTGCAGCTGCCGTGTCCTCCTTCGCCCCAGCTGCTTCGTGCGCGTGAGTGGTACGCTAGTTTGGGCTGTCGGGGTGGCCGTAGTGGTAGTCGCTCTGGAGTGCATCGGTCGGGAGCTTCTGGTAGTGGACAGGTGCAGCAGCCGTGTCCTCCTTCGCCCCAGCTGCTTCGTGCGCGTGAGTGGTACGCTAGTTTGAGCTGTCGGAGTGGCCGTAGTGGTAGTCGCTCTGGAGTGCATCGTTCGGGAGCTTCTGGTAGTGGACAGGTGCAGCTGCCGTGTCCTGTCAGTGAGGCTGCCGCTCTAGGTGCTAGTACGTCTGTTGCCCTAGGTGCTGGTGAGGCTGCTACTCTAGGTCCTAGTGAGTCTGCGCCCCCTGGTACTGAGTCGACTGAGGCCCTGCACACCTTCACCCTGGACTCAGGTGCTTCTCGCTGTTTCTTTCGTGACCGCACGGCCCTTGAGCCTCTTGCTCGGCCAGTTGCTGTCTCCCTCGCTGACCCCTCTGGGGGTCCGGTCATTGCGACCTCCTCCACTGTTCTTCCTTGTCCTGCGGTCCCGTCGGGCACACTGTCAGGTCTCCACCTCCCCTCGTTCTCTACGAACTTGGTGGCGGGTTGTGCACTCCAGGATGCGGGTGTTCACCAGTTCACCCCTGCCTACGAGCGCGTGACACACTGCACGTGTGCTCGGACGGGCCGTCACCTGGCTACCTTCACTCGGCAGCCGGGGTCGGACCTGTACACACTGACCACTGAGTCCCCTCAGGTAGCTGCGTCCGCGTCTGCGTCAGGTCAGCTGTCGGCCCCCTGCTCGTGTCGCTCTCTGGCGCATGAGACTGTCCTCTGGCACCACCGCCTTGGTCACCCGTCTGTGCAGCGCCTTCGTGCCATGCACAAACGGCAGCTTGTCTCTGGTCTTCCCAGGGTGCTCCCTCCCCTCCCACCCTCGCCTGCTCCTCCCTGTCTTCCCTGTGTCGAGGGGCGGCAGCGCGCCGCTCCTCACTCCTCCTCCTTTCCCCCGACGACTGCTCCCCTGCAGACGCTCCACCTGGACGTGTGGGGCCCAGCCCGCGTCCGTGGACAGGGTCAGGAGAGGTACTTCCTGATTGTTGTTGACGACTACTCTCGCTACACCACGGTCTTCCCCTTGCGCACCAAGGGTGAGGTCCCTGATGTCTTGATCCCTTGGATCAGCAGAGCTCGTCTCTAGCTCACCGAGCGTTTCCGCTCGGACTTTTCTGTCCTGCGTGTGCACTCTGACAGAGGTGGTGAGTTCACCTCCGACCTTCTGGCAGCCTACTGTGCCGAGCACGGCATTGAGCAGTCGTTCACGCTTCCGGCCTCTCCACAGCAGAATGGGGTTGCTGAGCGCCACATTGGCTTGGTCATGGAGGTCGCTCGTACCTCCCTGATCCATGCGGCTGCTCCCCACTTTCTGTGGCCGTTTGCGGTCCGATACGCTGCGCATCAGCTCAACCTCTGGCCCCGTGTCTCCTTGCCGGAGACTTCCCCGACACTGCATTGGACGGGAGAGGTTGGCGATGCGTCGCGTTTCCGGGTCTGGGGATCCCGAGCTTTTGTTCGCGACACGTCCGCGGACAAGCTCTCCCGTCGCGCTGTTCCTTGTGTCTTCCTTGGCTTTGTCCCGGACGCCCCTGGTTGGCAGTTTTACCACGTCACCTCGCGCCGGGTTCTGCCCTCTCAGGACGTCACTTTTGACGAGTCCGTCCCCTACTACCGCCTCTTCCCCTACCGCACTGCCCCGCTCCCTCCCCCGCCTCTCTTCCTCGCGCCAGGTGCTGCTGTGGTAGACCCCCTCCCCCCTCAGGGTGCCGCTCCCTCAGGTGTGTCCCAGGTAGACCCGGTTGAGCCTGTCGAGGTCGCTGTCGACTCTCGTCCTGCTAGGGGTGCTGCACCTGCGAGTGAGGAGCCTGGCGGTGCTGAGTCTGGGGGTGCGGAGCCTGGGGGTGCTGAGCCTGGGGGTACTGAGCCTGGGGGTGCGGAGCCTGGGGGTGCAGACCTTGGAGGTGCGGAGCCTGGGGGTGCTGAGCCTGGAGGTGCTGAGTCTGGGGGTGCTGAGCCTGAGAGTGCCACACCTGGAGGAGCCCTCTCCTCGCAGCAGCTGCAGGAGAGGTACCTACAGTACTGCGACCTCCGGAGAGGTGCTGCTGGAGCGGGTACCAGTGCTTCCCCTCCTACCCGGGAGCTCCCCTCCCTTCAGCAGATCCGAGAGTGGTACACACGGCGCTGCAGCCTTCGGAGTGGCGCTCCTGGTGCTGCGGACCCTGGAGTTGGAGCTGCTGCTGGTGCTGAGGACCCGGGCGGTGGAGCTGCTGCTGGTGCGGAGGACCCGGCCGGTGGAGCTGCTGCTGGTGCTACGGACCCTGGAGTTGGAGCTACTGCTGGTGCTGAGGACCCGAGCGGTGGAGCTACTGCTGGTGCTGAGGACCCGAGCGGTGGAGCTGCTGCTGGCGCTGAGGACCCGAGGGGTGGAGCTGCTGCTGGTGCTGAGGACCCGGGCAGTGGAGCTGCTGCTGGTGCTGAGGACCCGGGCGGTGGAGCTACTGCTGGTGCTGAGGACCCTGGCGCTGGTGTCTCTGGTGGTTCTGGAGACGCTGCGCGGCCGCGACCGTACTTCGTACCACTCCTTCAGCAGGTTCTTGGTCAGGCTCCTCCTCCTTGTCCTGCTCCCTCCTTAGAGTGTCCTCCGCCTGTCCAGCCGCAGTCCCAGTTACCGCCTACCTCGCCTCTCCCTGGTCCCTCTCCTTACACTGGTCCCACAGGAGGTCTTACAAAGCGTCGTGAGCCTGAGTCT